AAAATTCAAATGTTGAAGTCCCAGCCCCCAGGACCTCAGAATGTGACCTTTGGAGAGAGGGTCGTTACAGAGGTGATCAAGTCCAGATGAGGCCGTGAGCGTGGGCCCTGATCCAATAGGACTGTGTCCCTAGGAGGAGGGGAAATGTGGACACAGACAGGCACACGGCAGTGCCACAGGGGGAGGCGGCCATCCGCAGGCCAAGGGCAGAGGCCTGGAGCACGTTCTCCCTCAGCCTCAGAAGGAACCAGCCCTGCCGGCCTCTCTGTCTTGGACTCTGATGCGGAGCGCATCAACTTCTGTTGGTGAAGACTCCTGTCCGAGGCGCTTTGTGCCGGTGCACCTGGTCCCTTCGCTGAAGGCCCCTGCTCCTCCCAGCATGGGAATGACCCTCTCCTCCGTGGTTCGGGGACCTCCCCGTCAGGCCTCGAGGTGGTACCCACTCCTCCTGTCCAGCCCAGGCCCCCCCGACTTAGCCCTGCTGGCCCCCCTTCCAAGACCACCTCTCTGAATTGTCCTGATACCGCGCCGGCCTGTCGGGCCCCTGGCTGACCCACGCCCTTTTAACTTTTTGCAAGCGTTTTCGGGTCTGCTTGTATTTTGTTGAGGATCGTACATTACGTTTGTGAGTGAGATGGGCCTTTCTTGCACTCTTTGAATGACTCACAGAATGAGTTCCAGATGACGCCTTCTTTTTTATTCCCTGGAGGACTCGGTATAAGGCTGGAATGATCTGTCTTGGAAAGTCGGGTAGAATCCTTGATAAAATGCCCTGGGCTCCGTGTTTCCTTTACCAGACGACATTTTATGGCTGGTTCAGTATGTTAATCGGTACTGGCCTCAAGGAGAATTCTGTTTCTTCTTGAGCTGGTCACAGAAGGTGCACTTGGGTGAGTTGATCTGTCTGAGCTTTTGTAGTGGGCCACAGAGCTGCTGACGGCGTTCCCCCATCACTGAATCTCACACATCCCAGCGTCCTTCCTTTCTGTCAGCTTCTGGAAGGTTCTCCATGGCCTCAGCCACTGGTGTCACTGTTGAGAATCTGCTTTACTCCAGTGGACCTTCCCTAAATACCTTTCTCCCTCTGGTGGCTTTTCCAACCCCCTTCTCTCCGACGTGCCGTGGGGTCACCGTGACGGGTGCTGACATGGGTTCCCTCCCTCTCCCCACCCTGCCTGTTGTCTGTGAGACTTCTTGCCCAGCTGGGAGGTAGCCGGAACCCGTCCCGGTGGCGACTCAGGGATCCGGCCTCCTTGAGTCTGGAGCCTCCCATGTCCACGAGGCTTGGAGTCAGACACTGTGTCAGAACGCTGTGTGTGTGTCATGACTGACCTCCAGACCCAACAGCCACGTACCGGGCTCACCATTCCATGGGTTGGCACCTTGGCCGGGGCTCGGCTGGCTGGTTCTTCTGGGCTGGGCTGGCTCCTTCCCATAGCTGGAGGCTTCCGTGGGTCTGGGGCTGTTCTGCTCCTGGGGGACCAACTGGCTGTTGGTTGGGGCCACGTGGTGAGTAGGCCTCATGTGGTTCCTCACCCACCGGGTTCGCCTGGGCTTGTTCACGTGGTGGAGGCTGGGCTCCCAAACACAGTGGCCGTGAGCCTTCCCACTGTGCTTCCTGTGTCAGAGCCAGCCAGATTCCAGGGGGAGAGGCGGACTGGGTCTCAGCGGGACGGGGCATACAGCCTCATTTCCAGGGGTGTGGATGCGGGGGCATCACTGCAGCCATCTTTTCAAAAGATCACCCCATTCCCTGTTGGCTTGGGCTGCCCGCTGGGGAGGACACAACAGAAATGTATCTTCTCACCGTTCTGGAGGCTGAAGTCCAAGATCAGGATCCAGCAGCACTTGTTTCCGGTGAGGCCTCCCTTCCGGACCGCAGATGGCTGCCTTCCCGCCGTGTCCTCGCAGGGCCCTTGTCTGTGTGCGCCCCGAGAGAGGAAAGATGGCCGTGTCGCTCCCTCTACTTGTAAGGCTGAAGTCCTGGGGGATCGGGGCCCCACCCTCGTGACCTCACTCAGCCTTACGTGCCTCCTTAAAGACCCCATCTCCAAATACGGGGAGGGGTAGGGCTTCAACCCATGAGTTTGGGGGATGCGACTCGGCCTGTGTGACGTATGTGGGGGCTGGTGCTGGGCGCCCTCGGCTGGGCCTGGGAGCGGTGCTCATCCCTTTGCCCACGCACGCGGGCTGGGCCTCCTTCCTGCAGCGCCCCCTGACTGAGGGGGGCCGCGAGACGCGAGGGAGGGGGGGTCTGGCACTGTGTCTGGGTCTGGCGGCAGAGCCACTGGTGGGACAGCAGGGCCCCGTGGCCACAGACTCTGGTAGCAGTGGCGGTGTCCCTGGCCACGATGTCCAGCAGCGGCGTCCCCGGCTGTGTGCTCCGCCAGGGCTGCAGCTATCATTCGTGGCCGTGGGCTGCTTGGCAGGCGCTGGCCATGTCCCGTGGCTGCCCAGCCCAGCTGTGCGGGGGTGCGGGGCCGGGGCGGCATCCGGTCTCAGGAACGTGGCTTCCTACTGCCCTGCCTCCCAGAGCTCCTGCTGGCTCTCCAGCCTCCCCTGGGTTCGACTAGAGGCCTGACTGCTTCCAGCAAATTCCTTCCTGCTTCCGTGGCCAGAGTCCGTTTCTGCCGCTTGCCACCAGCAACCCTGGCCGCAACCGCCGGGGAAACGGTCTTCGTGCCCCTGGGTGGCTAGAACAGAAACCAGAGGCTGGGTGGCTAAGAAGCAGACAGTCCTGGAGGCCAGAAGTCTGAGATGAGGGTGCTGGCATGCTCGCCTCCTGGCTGTGGGCGGCCGCCTTCCGGGGGTGCTCACGCGGTGGACAGAGGGCATCTCTCTCGTGTCTCTTCTTACAAGGACGCTGTCAGGGCACTACACACCTTCCTCAGCGCACCATGAGGTCACGTTGAAAATAGCGTGAGTCCAAAATGCACTGAACGCACCTAACCGACCGAACGTCGTGGCTCAGCCGGGCCCGCCGGCCACGTGCTCAGGCTAACCCACGTTAGCCTACAGGTGCGCAGGCCCGTCCAGCGCGAAGCCTATTTCATAACAAAGTGTCGAGCACCTCCTGGGTCTCCCTGGAAGTGAAAACTGGAGCAGTCGTGTGGGGACAGACGGTGGTCCGCGTAGCGAGGGCTCGCCCGGGAGCTGCTCGGCATCACAGAGAATGCGCCGCGGATCGCTGGCCCCGGAAAAGACCCAATGTCAAAATCTGAGGCACAGTTTCTAGTGGATGTGTATGGTTTCCCCACCATCCTAAGGTTGAAAAATCATCAATCGAATCATCTGTCACCGGGTGATGGGGCTTCCACCCTCATGATCTAATCCTGTCCCAAAGGCCCCCCCTCCCAACTCCGTCCCTCGGGGGGTTGATCTCAACACATGAATCTGGGGTCCACAGCAGGAGCTGAGGAGCAGAGAGGCCCAAATCTGGGGGTGGGAGCCGGGCAGGAAGCTCTCCCCGCCTTTCAGCGGCCTGGTGGGGGAGAGGAGCTGTGTCTGAGCCTCGGCCCGCATTTTCTGGGGCCAGTGCGGGAGCAGGTGCAGCTGCCAGGCGTGGCAGGAGGCTGGTTCAGGGCCAGCGCTGGGGAATGCAGCAGGGCGCTGCCCCTCCCTGCAGGGATGACCGAGTGCCAGGCGCCCGGGGCGGCGGATGTGTCTCTGGCCACAGCCCCCAGCCGCCATCCGGCTCCAGGCCGGCTGTCCCGCACCAGCCCCCGGGGGCCTGAGCCGTGTGGGGCATGAATGGGGCTCTGTGGCCAGGCAGCTGCTCTGCAGAAGGCGGCTGGTGGCTGCGCAGGTGATGTGGGGGTGGGGGGGTTGGGGGCGGTGGGAGAAACAGAGCTGCTTCTGGGCCTGGTGTCACCCTGCTCTGCGCTAGGCCCCGGCATCATATTCAAGCCCATGGCCCACCAGGGACCCGCGCTGTCAGACCCCCAGGGACCGTGGGGAGGGTGCGCCCGAAGGGGGTGAGCCTGGCCTTCTGCACCCAGCATGGTGGCTGCTGCGTGGGGACTCCAAACCTCTGCCTGCCCCCGCGGCTCCCTGTCCGCCCCCCACAGGCAGTCCCGGCACTGAGACCCCCTGCCTGCCCCACCGCCCGCCGCTCTGAGCATTACATCCGGAGGGCCTGGACGGGGTGAAGACTCACATTCAAGCCCCACAGACGTCAGCCTTCCTGCTGTGCAGGTGCTGAGTTACTAGAACAGTGTTTACTCCTTCCCTCTCGTCCCTGCCCGATTGTGAGCCCGTCGGGGTTGGGAACGTTGAGTAGGGCACACTGCGTTTCTAGGGTACTGCGCCCCAGCTCTGCTTCCGCCCCCTTACCTTGTTGGACGCTCCTGAAGGTATGGGCGTTGGAAGCCATCTTGGAAATGGGGGCAGATGTCCAAGGGTACACCTGTCCCCCAAACCACCTGGGCTCTGGAAGAACCAGGGGCAGCTGGACTCGATCTACAGGGTGGGGGAGGAAAAATCCAGAAGCTCAGAGCCCCCACCTCCTGTGTGAAGGGGACTCCCAGTGGGCCTTTCAAATAGCAGCCTCCCAGCACAGCACCTCGCGGGGGGGATGGCTCTTAGCCGAGTCGGGGAGACCAGACACACGGACCTGGGGCCCTGTGGTGCATGCGGGGGGGATCCTGGTCCCACCCACCACCCCACAGCAACCTGCACTGGGGTCCGTGCTGCCAGGGGCATGAATGGACTCCCTCTCCACTACCTTGCGAGGAGGGGGCTGGAGGGCTGGGGGGTGAGGCCGCGTCCTGGCCAGGGTCCTCCGGGGTCAGGGGGTTGTCAGGGTTTCTGGGACGGCCCCGGGGTGGTGGGACGGGCAGGTGCCCGAGGGTGAAGCCAGGGTGAAGACACACTGATGGCGGCTCCGCGGGGTCAGGTTGTTTCCCTTCCTTTGGGGTGAGAAGCCCCCGGCCCGCTGGGCCCGGGGCGCCGCGTCCCAGCCCCAGGTGGCCCCAGGTGCCCCGCCCGCGCCCCGCCCCCGCCGGCCCGCCCCCCGCCGCCCGCGGCGCAGCGCCCTCCCCGAGCTGTTTTGAAAGTGACCCTGGGCTGCGCGGCCGCGGGGCGGCGGGCGCCGCGGGAACCATGACAGAAGATGACCGAGGCGGCGCTGGTGGAGGGCCAGGTCAAGCTGCGGGACGGCAAGAAGGTCGGGGCGCGCGGCGGGCGCGGGGCGGGCGCGGGGCGCGGCGGCCGCTTACGCTCCTCTGTCCCCGCAGTGGAAGACTAGGTGGCTGGTGCTGCGCAAGCCGTCCCCGGTGGCAGGTGAGCGGGCCGGGGCGCGGGGCGGGCGGTGGGCGGCGGGCGGCGGGCGCCCCGGCCTCCGGAGCCCGGCCGCCCGGAGCGCGGCCAGCGCGCCCGAAATAGCCGGCGGCGTCGCCGGCGGTAACCGGAGAGCGGAGGGCGCCGCCTCGGCCTGCTCCTGCCGGGAGCCCCGGGCGCCCCCGCCCCTGACGCCGGGACCCTCCCGCACCCCCACCTTCCGGGGAAGGCCGACTGAGGCCGGACGGGCGGGGGTGGGGGGCGGGCTGGAGGGGCCGGACGCTCGAGTGCAGGAGTGCTCTCCCCCTCCCCCAACAGGCGGCAGGAGCTCCCCGGGGAGGTGCCGCCCTTGTGCGTCTGGGGGCATGGAGTGGTGCCCCTGAGTCCGAATCCGGATGGGACCCTCCAGGCAGCGCTGACCCGGGTGGCCCTCCCACCTTCTGGGGGGGTGGGGAGGTGGCAGAGGCCAGGCCGCCAGGTAGGAACAGTGGCGCTTCTGTGTCTGAGAAGAGACGAGCCGAGGTTGCGTTGGGGGTGGGGGGCAGTGACTGGCACTACCCAGCCCCCCTCACCTGGGCCAGCACCCCCCACGTGGGAGGAGGCCGGCTGCGAGCCCCGACTTGGGCATTTGGCCTCAGTGAGCCGTTCTCGAGCATTTGGGAGGCTTGGAGCTGCGGGCCTGCAGCTGTTTGGGGAGACAGGTGTCCTGGCGCAGGCCCAGGCACCCCGGGGTTTGTGTGGGGTGCTCAGGGTGTGAGTGCATATTGCCTCACACGTGTGGGCCTGCCAGAATGTCTTCCGGGGCGCCTGGGGTGTCTGTCATTTCCCGGAAAGGTTGGGTGGGGGGCGCCCTCCCTGCTCCCTCTCCCGGGTCCCCTCGTTCCCTGTGCCGAGCCTGCTCGCAGTCGCCATCCGAGGGCCTACCTTTGGTCATGGACACGCTTCGTGCCCAGGTCTCAGCTTCCCCCTCCAAGGGGGCCCGGGCTCCCTGGACTGCTCACTCAGCCAGTCCGTTCTCCATGCCCAGACCCTGCGCCTCGTGCCCTGGGGGTCCTTGTCCAGGGGAAGGCCTGACCGACAAGGTGTCAGGGCTGGGGAGACTGAGCGGCCCCTGAAAGGCAGGGATGCCGAGGCACCGGCCAGGCCGAGGGCAGGGCGGAGGCCCCCGGTAACACTGAGGAGGCTGTGGCCAGCTGTGGCTGGAGGCAGGGCCTGGCTGCAGGTTGGGGTGTTGCTTGGTGGACAGTGGTGAGCTGGGGCCCGTGTGGGCCTCCAAGGAGGCTCTTGGCCCAGATGTCCCGCCTGAAGAGCAGCCCCTAAGGTGGTCTTTGTCCCTCCTGCAGCCCCGGGGGGTGGATTTTATCTCAGTATGAGAGAGAGCTACCCTGAGAGGTGAGCTCCCTGCTGGACCCGGAGAGCACCTGCCTTCGGAGGGAGGGCCTTTCTGCACTGCAGGGAGTTTGCAGGGGTCCCCCGCATCCAGAATCTGGGTCTGTAGGCCGGTGGTCATGAAGCCTTTCCTGGGTTTTCCCGTGTGTGTAGAAAAGGCAGGCCCGGTGTGGAGAGCATGGTAGGAGCCTGGGGTGGGCAGCCTCTGGCACAGGAACTGGAACTGGGTTTGAGGGGCTTGTTGGAGAATAGAGGGGAGGACACTCCAGGCAGGGCCTTGCATGAGAGCCTGGATGGTGGAGGGGATGAAGGGCAATGCAAGGCAGGCTCCCGCCCCTCTGAGCCCTGCACCTACCACCTCTTGTCCCTGGACCCAGAGTCTCCCCTGACCCCTGCCCCCAGTCCTGGGGGGCAAGGACCCCGCATCACTACTTACAGGCAGCCTGGTGGGGGCTGTGAGCCCAGCTGCTTTCAGCAACACCTGGGGCCGTGCAGACTCACCCGGGAGCGGGGCCTTGGCGTGTGCCCCACGCGGTTGGCAGCGTCTCTAAGGTGGGCGTATTCCAAAGGGCCAGGTACCAGGTGGTGGTGGTGGGGAGGGTCTGTGTCCCGCGGGAATGGGTGTGACGTCTCAGTCCCAGGCTGGGCAGGCAGCGCGAGGACAGAGTGTGGGTGGTGGCCGGGCTTCCTGTCCCCGTGGAGACCTCGAAGAAGGGGCCTGGGCTCCCCACAGGCCCAGGGCTCAGGGCTGGGCGTCGGAGCACCCAGGCGCAGATCTCGGCGTGTGGTCTGCACCCGTCCTGGTTGGGCTCCCGCCGTGGGACCTGCTGAGGGTGGACGGGTGGTCCAGCCCCACGGCCTGTGTGCCCCCACTGACGCCCGTGCTCTCGGGGTGGCCCGTCCTCGGGAGCCGCACAGCCCTGCACGCCCCCGGAACACTGCATGGGCCTCCTTCCCCAGGTGGACCCTGAGTGGGGCTGGGCCCTGCGGCTGCGGCCTGGTGAGCAGCGCCCACCCCCGGCTGCTGCAGGCTGCCGCCCCCTCAGCAGGGTCCCCTCGGGCCCTAGCGGCTCGGCTGAAGGCGCACTGTCGAGGTCACTGTCGGAGGACTGCCTCCAGCAGCCGCTCCTCCTGCCGCATCCACGGGGGTGTGGACCTCCCTGCCGTGCCGCGGCCTCTCCTCTGGACTCTGCCCGGCCTGCCCTCCCCCAGGCTCTCAGCCCCTGGCTGCTAGCACCTCTGAGGGCTCATGACCCCGCAGTTATTTTTACATCTGCAGACGCCTGCGCGCGGTGTCCGATGGGCCTCTGCAGCTCACGTGTCCGGGAGGGACCGGCCCAAGCCCCGCCCCCGCAGCCCCCTCCCCGGGCGCCCCTGCCCCCCAGTCCAGTGTCCACATCTGCCCTGCGGGGAAGGCCCCCCTGGGCTGTCGCCATGGTTACTGCAGGGCCTGGCCCAGCCTAGGCCAAGGGCATCTCTTGCCTGAGCAGCTTCTGCCCCAGGCTCACCAGGCCCCCGACCCGGCACCGCTCTCCCCTCCCTCCCCCGCCTGCAGGCCCTTTGGGTTCCTGCCTCTGGGCCTTTGCTCTGGTGTTCCCTCCAGCACAGCACTGATCCCTGCCGGGCCCGCCGCCCTGGCTTCTGGCGTCCCTTGGGAGTCACCTTTGTTGTGCCCTCTGTGAGGGTCTCGGCTTGGCACCCAGGCCCCCCGCAGCTGCTGTCATCCCTTTGACCATCCCCCCTCCTGGTGTCAACTCTGCGGGGGGCCTGGGCTCTGTGCCCTGGGTCCCCTGCCCGCTCAGGAGCACAATGACCCGGGCCCAGGGCTTCAGAACGGGAGGCTTGGGTGGGCTCTGAGGGATCCCAGCAGGGGGGTCTTTCAGGGAGCGGGACCTCATGCGGGGCATTTGCCCCTTCCTGGACCTGCCCTCGCTCACTGCAGGGCGCAGTCGCTGGAGGGCAGGGTGGGCTCGGGGCTCGGGGCCGGGGCCGCTGCTGGGCCGCTCTGTGCTTGCCCACAGGGTGGCATTTGCGGGGAGCCAGGGCTGTGTTAGCACGGGGCCTGGGCGGGCTGGGTGGCGTCCATTCGTCAGACAGGAAGCAGGCTAAGCGTGGGTTGGCGGTTGTGGACGCAGGGTTGGGACGGGGTCAGCCGGTCTCCCACTGTGGCACCTCTGCCCTCGGCCACGGCAGCGAGGCGGGGGCTGTGCATGTGTGCGAGTGTGTGTGTTGGTGAGCGCGTGTGTGTCCGTGTGTCTGCCTGTGTGTGCACCTGTCAGTCCCCGCTGCCTTGGTTTACCTCATTGCCCCCATGAGCCCCCACCCTCCCCGGTCCCTGTGGACGGCCCCGCGTCCGGGCCCTGGAGCCGCGGTGCAGCCCTCCGGCTGTGAGCGGGGTCCACACGGCCATGGGGACAGGGGCCCGACAGAGGCCATTTGAGTGGGGGGTCTGGTGACCAGGAGACCTCACCAGGGGACCAGTCTTGCTGGGCTCCCCGGGAGGGGAGAAGCCGTAGGGGGCCCGCGGAGCTGTCCTGCTGGGACGGGCCCCGGCGTGCTGGCCCCATGTGTCTGCAGGGGAGCTGTGGCCCGGGAGGGGCTGGCGCCGTCTCTCCTGGGCTGACCCTGCTCTGTCTCGGACCCCTGACCTGAAAACTGCCATTCTTCCGATGCCTGTGCAGCACTCCTGGGGAAGGAGTTCCAAAAACAGGATCCATTGACTGCTGCAGGTGACGTGGAGGGGAGAGGGCCCCACACTTGCTGCGCCCAACCCGGCCCCCTCCCCGCCACCTCTTTCCCACCCATGCTGGGGGCACTGAGCATGGGGCGGAGGCCACCTGCCCCAGCCGAAACCAGGCGGTGAGCCGGGTCAGCTCCCCCCGGGCAGAAGGCGGGAGCGCGTCAGAGCCGCGTCCCTCAGCCTGTTTGGTTCACATCTAGGAACGTGAGCAGTGGCTTGGAGGACGTGCTAGTCTCCTGGGCCTGCAGAGATCTGCCCTCTCCCGTCCCAGTGGCGGGACGTCCAACCTCAGGGTGTCTGCAGGGCCTCTTCCAGCTCCTGGTGGCTCCAGGCGCCGCCTCACTTTGGGACCGGCCTCATGTGGCCGCCTCCTCCGTGCGTTGCCTGCTGTCTCCTGTAGGACCAGCGCCGACAGGCTAGGGCTCCCGTGGATAATCCGCGATGACCTCTCTGTGAGATCCTTAACCCGATGACATCTGCAGAAACCCTTTCTCCAAATGAGGTCGCGCTTGCAGGTCTGGGGTCAGGACGTGGACATATCCTCTGGGCCCGTTCGGCCCGCTGCAGATGGGCGAGGGTGTTCTCGCATTCTCATCCCCTTACGGAGTGGGATGTGGGCTGCATCTCAGACGTAGGCAGAATCCAAAACGACGGAGCAGGCGTGGGAGGAGGGCCTCAGGGACGACTGCCGGCTCTCATCACGTGCAGGCCCCCAGACCAGCCTTGCGCGTGGGCACGTCTGAGGTGGGAGCACCTGCCCAGCCGCAGGAGGCTTCAGGGAGGTGGGAGGGCACCGTGGCAGTGGTGGTACACTCCACTCCAGACCAGGACTCAGCAAAGCACCACCCCGAGCCAAATCTGGCCCTCTGCTTGTTTGTGTAATAAAGTTTTGCTGGAGCAGAGCCATTCACGCACCAGTTACACTGGCTGCCTTCAGAGTTAGGTCTCTGTGGCAGACACTGCATGGCCCCTGAAGCCAAAAACAGTTCCTGCCTGGCTCTTTACGGAAAGCTGTGTTGAGCCTGCTTGCGGCTCTATTCCTGGGAGCATAACTCCTAGAACAAAGGAGGTGACAGTCACTCTGCAGTGCAGGTCAGGCCACGCCTCAAGGGATGGTCTTCCATTTGACCGATGGTTCCACGCCCTCCCTGTGCGCAAGCAGGTTGGTGGGGGTGGGGACGGCAGCTAGACGAGGCACAGACTTCTGCACAGAAAACCCGCTGTGGGGGATCCCGGAGCCTGCTGGAGGGAGAGGGGTGGCAGTGGTGGTCGCCTCTGCCTGGGCTGCTCTTGGGAGCAAACACCCGGGAAGCCTCAGGGGAGCATGTGGGTTTCTGTGGGCTCTGGGCGTTTCCCCCTCAAAATGGGAACGTCTTTGCTTTTTTCTGATAAAAGCATTTCAGAAGCTAAGGAGATAGGAGATGGGAGGGCCTGGGCAGGTGGGGGGATGGCGAGGCAGGCTTGTAGGAGGGACAGGTGCCGTCTGCTTGACCGTGGTGCGCCCGGGGCTAAGGGCCGTCGCGGGCTCTGGCGCGTTGTCCCGTTGGGATACCATCAGGATGACGGGGACAGCGACTGTGATGTTGAGGACAGTCGGGAACTCCAGGACAGAGGCGTGTCACCTGCCGGGGGGGAAGGGCAGGCCTGCTGGTCTTGGGGGTGGGCCGGCGTGGGGGCCGGTGGTGGGACCTCAGGCCCAGTGGCTCCCCCCTAGGGCTAGAGTCCACACCCTGGAGAACGAGAGACCCAGGAGGCCCGGCGGGTCTGCGTGCAGCAGAAGGGGGCTCGCCGCCACCGCTGGCTCTCTGCCCGTCCCCACGGCCCCCTGCCACGGCTCCTAGAGGCCCTGCAGCCCTTGAGGGTGGCCTGCGGGGGCCCCAGGGCTGGGGCAGGGTGGATGCAGGGGTGGGGCACAGGGCCAGAGCCAGGTGGGCAGGCTCGCTGTGGAGTGTCCGTGAGGCCTGTGCGCCGGGCGGGGTGGGAGATGTTGCCCAGAGCTGGGGTGGCTTGCTGGGGGTCACACCTCAAGCCCGGGCTCTCCGGGCATGCTGTGGCCCCTGCAGGGGTGCAGGTGTGCAGGGGGCCGTGCCGCTGACGGCCTGTACCGCGTGTCTTGCCCGGCGTCCCCGCAGACTGCCTGCTGATGCTGGCCTACAAGGACAAGGCGGAGCGAGCCAAGGGCCTCCGGGAGCGCAGCAGCCTGATGCTGGAGGACATCTGTGGCCTGGAGCCCGGCCTGCCCTACGAGGGCCTGGCCCACACGCTGGCCATCATCTGCCTGTCCCAGGCCGTCATGCTGGGCTTCGAGAGCCGCGAGGCCATGTGCGCCTGGGACGCCCGGATCCGCTATGCGCTCGGCGAGGGTGAGTGGGGCCGGGGCGACAGACCTCGTCCCTAAGTGTCCCGTGGGACCCTCACCCACAGGCTGCCGGAGCCGTGCCGTGACCCCAGGGCACGATGCACAAGTGTTTGCCGAGCACCTCCGCCGCCCGGCTCTGTGCTTCGGGCTCGCGGTCTGGGAGGACGCGGTGCTGCCCAGAGCGCTCGGGCCCTGTGAGGGGGCTCGGGGAGCAGCTGGGGCCGCGGGGCCCCCCCCAACTCCCTGACTCGATCCTGTTAGTTAGAACCAGGGCCCTTATCCCGAGGGGGCCCTGTTGAGCAGAGTGACCTTCCTAAGTGCTGCCTCTTGCTCCCCACCCTGTCCACCCGAGCCCAGAGCCAGGGTTCCAGGGGCAGCGAGGCCGCAGAGACCCTGTCCCACTGCAGCGTCCCCCAGGGGTGTGGTGGCTTCTGTGCCTGAGCCAGGGAGGCCAGGAGGACCAGGGGGGCCAGTGCAGCTCTGCGGGGTGGCTGGGCGGGGTGCAGAGGTGGGGGCCCCCGGTGAGCTCGGGGAGGAGGAGGGCCTCATGCCAGACGCCCAGAAACACAGCCGTCAAGATCGGTGACACTGTAACAGTCTTTAAAACCCTCAGGATCAATGCACAAAGCCTGTGACGAGCCGCATACCAAAATTTGGCCTGCCCTGAGCCTGCCCTGCCTTCCCCTTCTTTCCTGACCGCCCCCCAGCAACCCTGACAAGCCTTGTCTTTATTTAACCATTTGATACTCATTCATCACGGACTTTTGCATTAATTTTTATTTGCTTGAAAAAATCATCACAGCATCGCTGGCCTCGGCCGCTGTGTGTTTGGTCCCGAGCTGGGGGCTTCCCAGGGGCTCGCTGAGGTTTAGGACAGGGAAGGTGACCAGGGCGGCCCCTCTGGGCGCTCGCCTGCCTCTGAACCAGGGTAGGGTCTGGTGCCTGGGAGCGGGGAGTGCGGCCCCTGGGGGCTGGAGGGCGCCAGCCAGGCCTGGGTGGGGGGCCAGCCCTGCGTCTGGTGCCGACACCCGGGAGCTGCCCCCTCCCTGGGGCCTCTGCTCACGGTGATGCCCTCGCCCCTCCCCTGCCCCCAGTGCACAGGTTCCACGTGACGGTGGCGCCAGGCACCAAGCTGGAGAGCGGCCCCGCCACCCTTCACCTCTGCAATGACATCCTTGTGGTGGCCAGGGACGTCCCCCCGGCTGTCATGGGGCAGTGGAAGCTGTCCGACCTCCGGCGCTATGGGGCCGTCCCCAACGGATTCATCTTTGAAGGAGGGACCAGGTGTGGGTACTGTAAGTATGCGGGGCCTGGGCGCCCCGGGCCACAGGCCCCTCCAGCACTCGCTCTCCCCAAAACCCACGGCTTAGAGCCGCCCACCCCACTGTGCGCTCGCCTTGCTGGCATCTGGGGGACGTGGCGGGCGAGGGGTATGTGTCTCCAAACCTGGCGCTCAGCAGAGGCCAGACCCCCGCTGCCTCTGTCCGGCCCAGGCCGCTGAGGGTGGGAGGAGGGGCATGCAGCCCACTCACGGGGCGCCCAGCACCCCGGAGCGAGGCCTGCCCGTCACAACGCGTGGCCCTGTGTTTGAAGTCACAGAGCCCCAGGGCATTCATGTTCCGACTCAATGAGAAAGAGAAAAAGGGAAAAGAATGAGCATGTTTATCGAGGATGTGCCGAGGACACATTTGTGGACCAAGGATTCCTCGTGGCCACACCAGCTCCCGTGGTCCTTGGGTCCCCACAGCTGGAGGCGGGGCAGGCGGAGAGGTGCCCTGAGGTGCAGATAAGTGCCAGGCCCCTCCCGGGTGGGGGGAGTGCGGTGGCGAAGTGTGCCAGCGAGCTGAGCACGGGCCAGGAGTGGGGCGGGAGGGGCACAGCCTGGTCCTCCTGGAGCCGAGAGCTCGCCCGCTGTGCGGACGGGGATGGGCCGACACTCCTGCACACTGCTCTCCACGCATGGGTGTGTGCGTACGTCTGGGCCTGCAGCGGCTTCGGGGGCACGAGCCCCCTTCTCTGCTCTCTCCCGAGGAGCCCAGGCCCACCTGCGCTGGCTGTCCAGGGTGGCCTCCCGGTGGCCTGTCCGGTGGCGGGGACGACCTCAGCCAGTGTGCTGGGCTGGAGAGTGGAGTCTGGGTGGGGGCTGTGCACCCCCATCTCAGTTCAGCCTGGGACCCCCGCCAGACGGGGATCACGGCCCCCTCTCTTGTGGGTAGGGGGGCCTGGAGGCTCTGAGTGGCTGGCAACCTCTCCCCACCTGTGCCCCCTCCCTATAGGGGCGCTAATCCCTTGACCGACAGTACTTCCCCCTCCCCCCGCCTGCACCCCTGCAAGGGCCCTATCGCAGGGTCTGGCCCACACTCCGTACAGCCAGGTTTGGGTGGGGTCCACGGGGCTCTGGGACCTTGGTCCTGCCCGGATCTCCCCGGCAGAGGGACTGTGCTGGAGGACGTGTTCATGCTGGCCAGCTGGGCCCCTCTTTCTGCAAAAGGTGGGCAGGGTGGGAGAGGCCGCCTGGGGCCACATGCCAGCCCTGTGGGCCAGCCCGCGGGGCCCTGCATCCAAGGACGTACGTCATGATCTACAAAGATGCAAAGAGATAGACAAGCAGGTGAGGTTCCTGCTCAAGGCAGCGAGACCTCTGAATTTTGTGACGGGCTGCACCCTGGGCTTGGGGGAGGGGAAGTGTTTGGAGATGCCAAGGCAGGCCACAGGGGTGGGGTAGCAAGGTGCAGTGGGTTTACGGGGTGGGGCAGTGTGGGCGGTGGCCCCCAAGCTGTGGGGTGGGCGAGCCAGGCCCCAGGGTTTTTGAGTGGGAGTCTGAGCACAGCTGCTCGGGCACCTGCTCTGGGCTGGCGTTGGGGGGGCGTGTGAGACGCCAGCCAGAGGCCCCCCTGCTGGATGTGCCCTCAGGGCCCCGAGTTCTGGCACATTCGAGGGGGCAGCACTGGGGTCCAGAGCAGTGGAGGCGCAGGGTTCCCGGCCGTGTGGGTGGTCGGAGCTGGGCCACGTGCCCTGGGTCCGGGGCAGCCCTCCCCCCACCAGATCCCCTCCACGTGGGGGCCCTGGAAGAGGGAGAACGGGGTGCAGACCGCCTGGGGGTGGCGGCGACATGTGCCCCGAGGGAGGCCAGTCAGAGGACCCGTTTCCTCAGAGACCCTCATATTTGCCGGCCATAATGTAACAGGGCGTCCAGTTTAAAATCCCGACTGGGCGTGGGTGGGCCCTGCCTGTGACCGACGGTGGGCAGCTGTGACGTCCCGGGGCTGCCGGGAGCCCAGAGGGAGCCCGGTGGGCCGTCCTGTGGCTGTTCCCAGGCAAGCCGGGCCCCGCAGCGGACGCTGACCCGGGATTCGGTCTTCCCAGCTGCTCCAGGCTCTCAGGGGGCCGCTGGCCAAGCCAGCCCGCTCAGCCACTGTGGAAGAACCCCGGGGGGGGCCGGTCCCGCTGGGCTCCGTTCTTCGGGGACAAGTTTGCCAGGGCCGTGCCCGCGTTCGCTGGGCTGTAGGCCGTCACGGGGACCACTGCGCCCCGCACGTGTGGTCAGACCGCCGCCACTCAGGGCCGGGGCATCCCGGCAGGGACGTCAGGGTCTTGGGGCTGCCGTAGCCAGTGACCCCAAACTGGGGCCTTAGAACAAGAAAAACGGATTCCTTCACAGTTGTGTCCAAAGTCAAGGTGTGGGCGGGGCGGTGCTCCCTCCGGAGGCTCCAGGGAGGCGCCTTCCTGCCTCTTCTGGGCCCTGGTGGCCCCCGGCGGCCCTGGCCTTGTGGCCGCCGGCTCCAGTCTCTCCTCTGTTGTCACACGGCCGTCTCCCCGTGTCTTCTCTGTGGGACACCAGTCGTGGGATTTAGGGTCAGCCGATAACCTGGGATCACATCTCATCTCACTTGATTAAAGACCATTGTTTCAAGTAGAGTCACAGTCCCAGGTTTGGGGTGTGACCTATCCTTTGGGGACCACCATTCAGCCCGTGACATGGGTCACCTTGACTGTGAAGATTTTAGAATTTGGGTCCTGATGGGCCTGTGGCCCTGGGCGCGTTTAATCTGGAGGGCAGAGAGCTGGGTTGGAATCATCGGAAGGGCCTGGCAGGTCTGGAGTATAAGGAATTAGCATCCCCTCCCTCCCCTGGCCCGGTCCCTGTGCCCCCCCAGAACCACACCCCCTTGGCCACAGATAACTCTCCAGAGAGCGGGAAACGGTCCCCGGCCCTCTTTGCCCACCCCGAGTGTCAGGAGGATGTGGAGGTGGGGTCAGGCCCTGGGGGGGGCGAGGCAGAGGGCTCAGGGCTCTGAGGGTTTGGGGGAGACGTCCAGGTGGGTATGACCAGGATTGTTTGGCAGAGGCCTCTCAGGGCCGGGCCAGGTATGTGGGGGCTTGGTGTGGCTCTGGGTCCCTCCCAGGTGGGCATTTCCTCTCTGTGGCCTCCATGCATTCGGTGGCCTGTTCCTAGTCAGATGGCAGTGGGCTTGTTGGCTGGGAGTCCAGGGTCTCCCGGGGTGGCCTGGTTCTCTGTCTCCGGGTTGGTGGAGGCCCACTGTGTGTGGCGAGGGCTTCGGGCAGGAACAGAGGATGGGAGAAGGGGGGCCCGCCCAGAGCCCAGGGAGGGCAGGCCTTGGGGAGGGGTGTGTGAGCGAGCCGAAGGGTGAATGGAGGTTTCTAGGAGGGGGCCCAGAGGAGGTCTCTGTCCCTTGCATTGACGGGTCCTCCTGTCAAGGGCATTTCCACATCTGCATGAGCCAGCTTCCTTTGCAGAGGATCAGGGTCCTCGGATGCTAAGGAATTCAGCAGGTGGCAGAAAGGTCCCGAGCCTGTGGTGGAGGTACGTCGTGGATAGTGACCCTCAGAAATGTCCCCTCCGCGTCTTGCGTGCCGGCCCCTCCTCCACTCACTGTGCCCGGCTCCTCGGGGTGCGACCCAGGGCTTCAGCCTCTTGGGGCACGGAGGGCGTTTCTAGGTGACTTTTTTTTTTAAAGAGTGCGTCTTTTAAAAAATTTTATTTAAATTAAATTTAGTTAAAAAAAATTTTTTTTACAGATTTTACCTATTTATTTGACAGAGAGAGGGCACAAGTAGGCAGAGGCAGAGGGAGAAGAAGGCTCCCCGCTGAGCAGGGAGCCCGATGCGGGGCTCAATCCCAGGACCCTGGGATCATGACCTGAGCTGAAGGCAGACGCTTAACCGACTGAGCCACCAGGGCGTCCCTAAATTCAATTTAGTTTTAAATGACTTTTTTTAAGCGAGTAAAGGATGAAGCCATAAACTGGGAGGAACTCTCTTGCTGCGTATTTAAAACACTTGCATTGTCCAGCTCTGCTAAGTCCTCTGGTGGGTGGACATTGTGGTCTGCATGCCGGGCAGTCTTGATGGAGCTGGCTGAAGCCCTGGTCTCTGACCCCAGGAATGTGTGTCCGGCACGGATGGTGACCCGCAGGGTGTGTGCAGGAACCCCGCTAGTTGGTGGTGGCAGAGGTGGGGCTGGAGAAGGAGGAAGCCATGCCGGGTTATAGAGAGCCCAGTAAGCTGGACCAGAGTGCACTGTTTTCCCAGAGTAGCCAGGAGCCATCGAAGGTGCTTGAGCAGGGGAGTGCCACCCACACGTCTGTGTAGGGTGATAACTTTGGCCCCAGGGTGCAGATGGGATTGAGGTGGGGAGCCATGCAGGGGGCTATGAGAAAGCTCTGGATGTGGTCTGAGGCTGAGTCAGCAGCATGTGTGCGTGGGGGGTCGCCGGGGATGCAGGAATGTTAACTACCAGCGGTTGAAATGGGGAGAGAGGGAGGGAGGGAGTGGGTGGGCGGGAGAAGGAGGGGTGCTTGCTGGGGTGAGGGTCCCAGGAAGATGGAGCCCTTGCCCTGGGCCGGGTCTGCTCCAGTGCTTTGCCCACGGGGAGGCATCCAGCCCGTGCAAAGGCCGGCTCCCCGCTTCCTTCCCCTCGGCAGCACGTTGGGGGACACTTATGAATTGGGGTCATTTGATAGGGACGGTTTCAGGTTCCTACAAGGAGATGCAGTTTGCTGTCTGGGTCTAGACCACTGGTCACGTTGCAGACGGTTTGTGGTCGATCCCACCCCTCTGCTGGGAATTTTCTGCGATGGGGTCAGGAGCGAGCCTGGAATCCATCAGCCCCTCTAGCTCACTAGGGGTTGGCCTCCCAGGCTGGTCCTGGCTGCCCCCAGTATCCAGGATGGCGACCCGGGCTTCCCCTCTGGGGGGCTTTGCTCCACTCTGTTTCCTCCCGGGCAGAAAGGCCCCGGGAAGGCACCACGTCCCCCTGCCCTCAGGGATGGACAGTGTGGCCTCCTGCGGGGGGGGCAGCCTCCACCCCCATCTCCAAACACAAGACATTCGGTCCATGGGCACAGAGTCCCATTCACAACCGTCAGCAGGCACTCGGGGAGACGCAGGGAAAGTGAGATCACGGGCCTGCCCTGAGAAGCCCCTTACCTGAGCGGGGGGCGCCCAGGTGCCCCGTGGGGCCATCGGGGAGGGTGGCACGGCTGCCAGAGAGGGACGGTCACTGGGGAGTGGTCTCAGCGGGGCCTCGCATGAGCCGGGGACGGGGAGCAGCCCCTCCTTGGGGATGGAGCCCAGGGCTGGGGCTCCCCCAGCAGTGTTCCGACACTCTGCCCAGGGCGGGCCGTTGCGTGCAGTGTGCCCGGGAGGGGCTGCGGGAATGGTTTGCCCTGTGTTTACTGGGGCGGAATAGACACGCATAGACTTTACCCCTTGAACCGTGGTCAGGAGTACAGCTCAGAAGCATCAGGTGCATTCAATGCCGTGCAGCAGTCCCCGCCCCGTCTTGGCCAGCTGACACTGGGTCCCCAGTGGACACCAGCCCGCATGTCCCCTGCCCAGCCCCTGACACCCACCGTCCTCTTTCCGAGTCTAGGATCTGACTCCTCTATGGGGCTCGCAGAAGTGGGATCACACGGTCCCTGTCCCTTCGTGACTGGCTCGCTGCACTGAGCACCGAGTCCCCCAGGTTCATCTGTGAGGTAGCAGGTGTCAGGATGTCCTTCTTCCTCGAGGCTGAACCGCATTCCATAGTGTGGACCACGTTCCTTTATCCGTCCTCCATCAGTGGTCGCTGCTGTGAACACGGGGGTGCGGGCCTCTGTTCGGTGCCTGCTCTCAGTTCCTTCGGGTGCACACCAGACGTGCGATCGCTGGGTCTGCGTGTGATGTTCGGAGGACCCTCCACGCTGTTTTCCACGGCGACCCCTCCACAGTGCACCGGGTTCCAGTTTGCCCAGGTTCCCGCCAACACCTGTTGCGTTCTGTTGTTTTGTTTTTAATCAGTCTTCCTGGGGGGTGAGACTGTTGGGGGAAACTTAAAACTTGATTTCGAATGAACATGTTTCATTGAACTTTGGTCCTGTCTCTCAAAATAAGGACAGAGAGAAAGAAACGAAATTTGAATCAGTAGATGTGTACCTCTGTTAGGGAGCCCTGTGCAAAGTGAGACCCCAGGGGTCCTGGTCTTCTGAGTGAAAGTCTAACAACAGGCAGGTTGGTGCTGCCTAGGCAGAGCTTTCTAGAACCTTCTCTGCACGAAAGTCCTCCAGACGCTTTCAGGCACTCTCTACCGAACAGGACCTCACCGTGTGCTTCTGGTCTCCGTGGAGCCAGGACACCGAGCACACACAGAGCTCAGGACACTGGAGGTTTTCTGGACTAACTTCTGACAGGAATCCGCCCACGGAACTGGGCACACGTTTGGATGGAAGAGTGTTTTTCTCGGGGCTGGGGACTCTTTCCGTGGGGTGCAACTGCCTTCGCATTCAGATATTGTCCTAGGGACTAACTGCATTTGTAAAGCCCGTAAGGTTTGCCTTCAGCCCCCGAGAACCCACAGGGTCTGCCCAGAGCGAAAGGTGGCCATCAGCTCGGGCAAGCCGCTGGCTTCCCGCTCAGCACACTCTCTCTCCTCCTTATCCCTGTCTCCGCATGTCAGTGATCACAGAGCAAGAAACACCCCAGGACTTGGCGGCGGTTTCCTTGCTTGTGATTCTGTGGGTCAGGGATCTGCTCCATGTGGTGGACGGATCACTCAGGGAGTGGCGTTGAGGGTGGCCTGGCTGGGAGGCCCAGGATGGCCCCAGGCATGGACCTGCCTGGGCTGGGGCTTCGTGGACTGGAATGGGAGGAGGTGCAGGGGCTGTCTTCGAGGGTGACCGCGTGGCAGAGGGGGCTGGGCCCTACCTCCTCCGGCCCTGCAAGCAGGCAAGCAAACAGAAGTTCCAGGAACACTTTCTTGGGGAAGGCCCACTCGCCTCCGCTTCCTTCTTCCCACCACACCGAGTGCTGGGGTCCCCTGGGCAGCAGGCCCTCGGTGAGACACTGGGGCCCCAGTGCCTCAGAAGGAGCCCCTGTCTGCCTGGAGGCCAGGACAGCTGCAGATGAGGGCACGTGCCAAGTAAAGGATCACAGGTGTGACCCGGAGGAGGGGCTCCCTCCAAGCAGCACCGAGTGAATGATCAGGGCTCAGGGGTCAGGAATGGCGGTGTCAGGTGAGTGGAGTCTCGGCAGGTGAAGTGGATTACAGGTGGCCGAGGGGTGTGGAGGGATGGGGGTGGCCGCCTCCTGTGGGGGGAGCTCCCAGGGTCCCCAAAGCCTGGGGGGGGAGGGGGGCCCGCAGAGGCCAGCCGGCGGTCAGCGAGCTGTGTCCCAGAGGCCTCGCCTCGAGGCTCGGGCAGCCCGGACCCTGGGAGCCATGTGCCGTCCCCAGGGAACCTCTGCGGTCAGCTCCCTGGCGTGCGTGGGGGTGGCAGTCGCGCTCCCAGGCCTCACCGGCTGCATCTCGGGGAGCGTGACGCTCAGCAGACGCCTGGTGGAATGCCGACGGCTCCCCTCACTTCGTAATGTGGTTTTTTATAGTCGGGGGACTGGTTGTGCTGCGGCCTCTGCCAGTTGTCTGTAAGCTCAGGATTAGGGGCCCGGCCCTTTGTGCGGGCTGGCAGGCCGGCCCCTCGCTGGGGCGGGGACGCCGTGGGCCGGCCTTCTCCTCGCCTGCCCTCCAGGTCCCGGCCCATCGGCTGGCTGGAAGCCCTGTGGTGCCCAGATGTGTGCAGGTGGCCCACTGGCCAGGCTGGAGTCCCTCGTGGCCCCCTCTGGGCCTCAGTGCACTCATCCCTAAGAGGGCCTGTCACCCAGCTTGGGGGGCCTTGGACGGATGGAGCTCCCGACCGGAGGGTGCCGCAGCCCCCCGATCCCTGGGGTGGCATTCCCCGTGTGGGGGCTGGCCCGAGCCCCTGGGATCCTGGGAAGACCGTCCGTGACCGTGGCCGGCGGCCAAGGTTTAACTGGGAAGCCTTCCCTTTCCCACCCCGGCCCGCCCGCGGGGGCGCCCCGGGACCTGGCCTTCAGAGTGAGCAGGCCTTTCTTTGGGCGAAGGGCAGAGGGCAGGGTGTGGAGAGATTCTTGTGTGGTGACGCCAGCCGAGTGTGTGGCCCCATGTGGCCCGGTGTCCCCATTCACTGGGCGGGCGGTGAGGGATTTCATTCACCCTGGCGGGGCTCCGGCCCAGCGGGAGGGCGGCCGGGCCTGGGGCGCAGCCGGGCTGTGCTGACTCACACGGCCTGCCCTCTGCTGGCTGGGGGCCCCCGTGGGCACGACCTCAGCCTCCCCCCTCACACCTTGGGCCCGTTTCCCACCCGAAAACACACCCAGGAGGGGGGCCCGTGCAGTGGGCAGGATGTGTCGCCGGCCACCGCAGCGCTGGCCGCCTCGTGTGTGGGGCAGGCCCACCTCCCGCAGACACTCACCCTCAGAGCAGCCCTGGGTCAGGAGACAGGGTCGGGGGGCACCTACCGAGGTCGAGATCCCCCAGCTGCTTCCTGGCACGTGAACCCCGCTCTAGGTGGGCCTGTCGCTTGCCCTTCCGATGAGCCTGGGCATCGCGAGAACCGGGACACCCTCACCGCCTCCTCCTGCGGCCACGTCCTCCTGAGGCGCCCCAGGAGCCCCGTCCTGGCCAGTGGGGGCCGACGGGTTAGACCGAGGACCAGCAGGGCGGGACGCCCTTCCCCCACGCCGTCCTGACACCCAGCGCAGTTGCCTGGGCTGGCTAGTGCGTGCAGGCCCGGGACGGCCAGGCCTGCGCCCCAGCTGCCCGGACGAGGGGTGTGGGCCTGAAGGACGGAGCAGGGCTTACCAGGGCCAGGCAGAAGCCCATCCGGGTGCTCGGGGGACACTCCCTGCCACCCCCGCCCCTGTGTGTGTGGTCTCATGGGTTCGCTCCAGGTCCCCGCGTTCTGCATCCTGGTGGCCCCGGGGCCCATCCTGCTGCGGTCCCGCCCTACCCGAGCTTCCGACACCAGGGTCTGTCCTCCCGCTGCAGGGGCCGGAGTCTTCTTCCTGTCCTCCGCCGAGGGAGAGCAGATCAGCTTCCTGTTCGACTGCATCGTCCGGGGCATCTCCCCAACCAAGGGGCCCTTCGGGCTGCGGCCGGTTCTCCCAGGTGCGTGTGGCCCGGTGGGGAGGGGCCGGGGCCGCCCGATCGGTCAGCAGCGTTGGGTGGGCTGCCATCCGTGCAGGCTGCCTGCAGGGAGGGGTCACGCTGCCCAGCTCCCGAGGGGACAGCTCACACCCTCACTGCCCTCCTTCCGCCGGTCACAGGCCTGGCGACGCTTGTGGGGCGGGGCCTCCGGTTGGGACCCATACGCTGTGGGGCACCCGATGGGGCACCAAGAGGCCACAGAGCCCGTGTGGGGCTCGCGGACAACTTCTGAGCCAGACTGGGGTGGGGGCCTTGCCCCTTGTGGCTGGGACTGTGGGCTGGGGTTTGCATTTGGGCTGGAAGCTGCCTTGTGTGCTTGCCTGGTGGGCGTGAGGCTGCACTGAGCTCACCTCACCTTGCCCCCCCTTCCCTGGTCGGGCCTGGGGCGCATTCTCCAAGAGCCCTGGGCCGGGAAGGAGCTGGACGCCGGAGGGGCTGCGGGCAGGGCTGGACCCCCGAGGCCCTGGCCCCTTTCTCCCACTGGAGGAAGCGCTGCCCTCCCCTGGGGGACGGCCCGGGAGGGACGAAGGCTGGTGCTCGTCGCCGCGGCCTCCGTTGACCGAGGCCCCCGGTGGGTGGTACCCAGGATCGCTGGTGCCCCCACAGCCCAGCGAGGCGGTGCTTGTCACCTTGTCCAGGTGGAAGAGACAAAGGCCTGTGGCCAGGCGGCAAGTGGTCCGGGGTCTCCTTGCATGCGCACCCCAGTGCCGGTCATTCAGGGCCACCTGGGGAGGACAGAAGCGAGCGACCCGCCAGGTGCCCCCTCTCCCGGCACGGTCCCTCAGCCCAACTCCAACCCCACACAGGCCCCGCGCTGGACGGGCTGGGGACAGAGGAGGTGGCTCCTGGGGCCAGAGCCTTCGCCGTCTGGGCTCTGCGGGATGGTGTGGTGGCGCCCTCTGCTGGCGCCCTCCTGCCTGCAGCCACAGGGGCCGTGTAGACGGCAGGGTGTGGATGGGCAGGTGTGGACGGCCTGGCTGGTGTTGCGTCTAGGCCCTGTGCTCGTCCGGCTCTCGTGAGACATGGCCTCGCCTGGGTCAGCAGCCTCATGCTGCAGCCCGTCTGGGGTCCTGTTCTGTTCACCCCCTGCTCAGTCGGACCCACGTGGACACCGAGGCCCAGAAAGGCAGACAGTGGGAGGGGAGAGGGGAGAGTTCCGAGGTCCGCCCTGCCCCGAGCACAACCCGGTGCGCTCCGTCTTGGTCCCACCACGATCGGGGTGCCCTCTCCCCGCACCCCCACTTTGCAGATGTGGACAAGGGGCTCAGGGAGTCCGTCCAGCACCAGCGTCTCTCTGCCCTATCGCTGCCAGACGGGAAGTGGTCAGGAGGACACGCCCGCGTCCCCACCTGGGCCTCGCCTGCCGGCTCTGGGGCACAGGACGTGGGCTGGTGGCCGGGGGGCCTGGAGGGGGCAGGCGCCCTGAGACTGGTGTCCCGTGGCTGGGGTGCAGGCGTGGGGAGGAGCTAGGGCTCCCAGGGGTCCCCCGTGGCCCTGCCGTGGCCTCGAGGCACGCCCAGCACGCAGGTGGCCCCGGTGGTGCGGGACTCACCGGTGCGTCCCGGGCGGCAGGTCCCCTGCAGCGAGGATCAGGGGCGGGGACTGAGGCTGCGTCTCTGCTGATTCTCTTCTCTGCGGCAGACCCGAGCCCCGGGGGACCTGCCACCGTGGAGGAGCGGGTGGCCCAGGAGGCCCTGGAAGCCCTGAAGCTGGAGAAGCGGCTCAGCCTCCTCGCCCACGCGGTCCGGCCCGGCAGCGGAGGTAGGCGGTGTTTGTTCCCCCGGGGCTCCCTCATTCATTCATCCCCCCTCTGCTCACTCATTCATTTCTCCCCCTGTACTCATTCATTCCTTCTCCCTTCTGCTCACTCATTCATTCCCCCCTCTGCTCATTCATTCATTCATTCATTCATCCCTCCTCTGCTCACTCATTCCTCCCCCTGTACTCATTCATCCCTTCCCCCTTCTGCTCACTCATTCATTCCCCCCCTCTGCTCATCATTCATTCCCCCTTCTGCTCATTCCTTCATTCATTCCCCCCCCGCTCATTCATTCATTCATCCCCCTCTGTTCACTCATTCATTCCTCCCCCTGTACTCATTCATTCCTTCTCCCTTCTGCTCACTCATTCATTCCCCCCTCTGCTCATTCATTCATTCATTCATCCCTCCTCTGCTCACTCATTCATTCCTCCCCCTATACTCATTCATTCCTCCCCCTATACTCATTCATTCCTTCCCCCTTCTGCTCACTCATTCATTCCCCCCTCTGCTCATTCATTCATTCATTCATCCCCCTCTGTTCACTCATTCATTCCTCCCCCTGTACTCATTCATTCCTTCTCCCTTCTGCTCACTCATTCATTCTCCCCTCTGCTCATTCATTCATTCATTCATTCATTCATCCCTCCTCTGCTCACTTATTCATTCCTCCCCCTATACTCATTCATTCCTTCCCCCTCTGCTCACTCATTCATTCCCCCCTCTGCTCATTCATTGATTCATTCATTCATCCCCCTCTGTTCACTCATTCATTCCTCCCCCTGTACTCATTCATTCCTCCCCCCTTCTGCTCACTCATTCATTCCCTCCTCTGCTCATTCGTTCATTCATGCTCCCTCTGTTCATTCATTCATTCATCCCTCCTCTGCTCACTCATTTGTTCTCTCATGCATGATGCCACAAACATGGTGCGCTGGCCTCGGCCCTGACTGGAGCCACGGTGCTCCGAGAGAGCTGGGAGAGCTGGTGCAAATTCTTGCTGCCCGGCAGCCGTGTGGCCTGGGTAAGGCGGCGGCCTCTTGTGCTCAAGCTTTACCGTTCGTGCCCAGACGAAAGGGCCCCTCCTCAGCAGCCCACACTCTCGGTTTGCTGCAAAACGGACAGAAGGGGCTGCGGCCCTGCAAGGGGCCTGCCTGGGGGTGGGGGTGGGGGTCGGGAGCTGCCCTTTGGGGCCTGTCCGTCCTCTGACTGCCGCCAGCCCCATGGGGGGCGCTGGGAGCACTGTGGCCTGCCCCTAGAAGCAGGGAGCCTCGATTTGCATTGAGCCGCGACCTTATGGGGGCTCACAGCTGGTTCCCGGAGTGGGGTGGCTGAGGGGGTGGGAGGGAGGGCGCAGATTCCAGAGGGGGCCGGAGGGGTGGAGGACTGGTGTCCGGACGAGGGGCCCGACTGGGTGAGCTGGCTCGTGCACCAGCCTCCAGGCGGTGGGGGCGCCTGGGGAGGGGGCGGGGTGGGCCCAGAGAGCGGTGAGCCCGCCCCAGCCCCCAGCACAGCGTCCGCACCCCCGACCACCGCGTGCTCTCTCTCAGGGGATGACCGCAGCCTGTCCAGCTCGTCCTCGGAGGCCAGCCACTCGGACGTCAGCGCCAGCAGCCGGCTCACCGCGTGGCCGGAGCCGCCCTCGTCCTCGGCCGGCACGTCGCAGGAGGGCCCGGGGCTGGCGGCTGCCCAGGCCTCCAGGGAGGCGGTGCCGGGCACCTCGAGGCCGCTCCCCAAGCCGCTGCGGCCGCGGCAGCTGCAGGAGGTCGGCCGCCAGGGCTCGTCGGACAGCGGCATCGCCACGGGCAGCCACTCCTCCTACTCGGGCAGCTTCTCGTCCTGTGCCGGCAGCAGCCTGGACGTGTGGCGCGCAGGGGACGAGTTTGGCTCCCTGCTCAGCCTGCCGCCGGTGGCCGGGGTGCCCGAGCCCAGCCTGTGCACCTGCCCACCGGGGACAGCGGAGTACCAAGTGCCCACGGCCCTGCGGCACCATTATGACACGCCGCGCAGCCTGCGCCAGGCCCCCAGGGACCAGACCCTGGCCGCGCAGGGCGGCCCTGACGACGGTGGGGCCGGGGACTCGGGTGGCCAGATGTCCGCGGGGTGTCCCTCCGGCTGGCTGGGCGCGAGGCGGCGGGGACAGGCGACGGAGGCTCCGGGCTGCGAGGCCCCTGGCGAGGGCTGGGAAGCAGGCAGCCCCCACGCTGGGCCTCCTCCAGCTTTCTTTTCCACCTGTCCGGTCTGTGGAGGACTCAAGGTAAACCCCCCTCCCTGAGAGCCTCAGCCCAGGCCCGCTGGCGCGGGGGAGGGATGGGGGGCTGGGTTCTGTCCCTCCCGGCAGGAGGGGATGGGGTGCCCTTTGTGCTGTTGCTGAAGCCAGCAACTGTGGGCACAGTGGGGAGGGCCTGGAGGGAGGGGTGACAGCCCCAGAGCCTGCCCTCTGGGGAGCGGAGCCTGCAGGGAGGGCCCCCAGGACTTGGAGAGGCCCAACGGCCTGCTGCTGAAATGTGTTCTGGAAAGTGGGAAGCTCTGGGTGGGGCAGGCTGGGGGCCCGTAGAGTCCCGAAGCCCGGGAGAGGATCAGGTGCTGGGGGCACAGGCGGGTGCTGTGTCCCAGCCGGCTCGTGCCAGGCCCTTGGGGTGATCAGGGCTGGGAGGCCCCTCGCTGGCCGCGGCCTCCTCCTGTTCCACTGCCTACCTGGTGGACGCCGTGCTTAACCTCTCAGATCCATCCCCTCCATTGTGCACAGTCAGGCCGTCCGCTAAAAATCAGCTTCCTCTGCAGCAGTTGCAGACCCGGATTCCCGGGACAGGCGTGCGGCACGGGGCGTGCAGGACAAGCTTTACCTGTCTGCCCCACGCCTCCTCTGTGAAGTAGCACCACAGGGGCCCATCTTACAGGGGAGGAAACTGAGGCTCAGGAGGTGCAGGGACTTGTGGGGTCTGGGTCTCCTGACTCGCGGACCTCCATGGCTCACCCACCAGCCTGTTCCAGAACCTGCAGGCTCCCGGGCGAGGGGTGGGCAGGGAGGGCCCGGCGGCAGCCCCCCGCCCCGCGGAGCAGGGAGCAAGGCGGTGATGTCCTTGATTGGCCAGCCCAGCAGGGTCAGCTTGCCAGGAGGCCCCTGTGAAGGCTCCGGAGGCTGCAGCTCACTCCCCTGCCACCCTCCTGGCTGAGCCGGAGCCTAGTGGTCGGGACCAGAGGAGGCCAGGGCTCCGAGGGCCCGTTCATTTGCATTTGGCGGCCCGTGGGTGGCCCAGGGGTAGAGCTGCTTCCGGCGCCCTCCGTGGTCTGTCTGCTCGCCTGCATGGGGTGCAGCTGCCTTGCCTGGTTTTGTACCTTCGTTCTGCAGTCCGTGCACCCGCGAGAGGCGGGGCCCATGCCCGTGCGGCTCCGGACGCAGGCTGGCGCCGTCCTGCGCTGTGTGCAGTCAGCCCCCGGCCGGGGGGCAAGCAGCTCATCTGTAAAGACTTTGCTTTGTACCTTTACTGTTGGCTAAAGACCTTTGTCGCTCTCTGACATTTTTAAAATCTGACACTGTTTGTAATACATTCTTAGACTGGAAATAAAATGTTCTTTTCTTATCGTCTTGTCCTTTTCCATTTACCAGCCTCCCCGCCTCCCACCCCGGCCCTCCCGGGGGGCCTTTGACGGTCTCCAAAATCTGGGGGCCCAGCCCCCCAGCCTGTGGGTCTCAGGGGCCAGCATGAGGCCTCGCCTGTGTGGTCTGCCTTAAGCCCGAACGCACTGGAGGCCTGAAAAAGGAGCGGCAGCTCCCGACAGCCCGTGGGGCCTGTGTGCGTGCACGTGCACTTGCATGTGTGTGTCGCGTGTGATGTGTGCACGGTGTTTGTGCACATGTCTGATGCGTGTGCACACGTGTGTGCGTGCACAGGAGTGTGCATTTGTGCACACGCACACGTTGGTGTGGTGTCTGTGCTTGCGTGTGTGGTGTGTCTATGCATGCTGTGTGGACAAATGCACACGTGTGCACATGTGTGTGGTCTGAGTGATGCGTGTGCACACGTGTGGCACGCTCCCCTGTTCACTGGAGACCACGGGGAGGTCTCCGGTGGTTGCTTGGGCGCAGGCAGGTGGCTCCCCGTGTCCAAGTGACGCCAGGGAGAATCCTGCTCTGAGCCTGGAACCCCCACCCCCTCCCATCTCCCCCCTTTGGGTGGCAGAACTCCAGGGACCCCAGCTCACGTCTCCTGCGCATCCCGGGGGCCCATGCCCTGCCTTGTCACTCCCATTTTCAGCCTTGCTCACCACCCTGCTGGGGAGCCAGCTCTGCACCCCCAGAGTTGGGGGCTCTGGGTGGGGTTCCTGTGCCCTGCAGTGTGAGGAAAGCCAGGCTTTGGGGGCTGAGCGGCACCTGCCCCGCCAGCTGGGTGGCCTCAGGCAAGTTACTGCACCTCTCTGAGCCTCCGTTTCCTCCTGCATAGATGGGGACAATAGTCCTTACCTCCCCGGACACACGGAGAGGGTCTAATGAGGTGGTAGATGCACGTGGGCAGTAGATGTCTATTCACGGGATGCCGTCATTAGACCCGAGGCGCCCCAGCCAGTCTGGCTGCAAAGGAAATAAGGCTGTGAGCTCCAGCACCACAGGCCGGGGGTGGGGGTGGTGTCTGCTCCTGCCGGGGCCCCTCGTTGGCTGGGCTCAGTCCTGTTGCACTTGCGTGGGTCCCCGGCCCCAGACAGCGGGGAGGGGGGCAGGCGTCTGCGACCAGAGCCCGCTGAGGCCCCAGCGACTGGTTTGCCCCCTGCCCGCCATGGGAAGCCAGGGAGGGCCAGGGCGGGGCGTTCTGCTGGCCCCTGCCCTGGTGGGCATCCTGGCCGTGGACTCCGTTCTCCTCGACCGAGGCTGACGAACATCAGGGAAAGTCTGTCTGGGGGTAGGGCAGGGGGGACGGGCTGCGGCCACCCAGGCAGGTGTGGGTCTTGGCCGGAGGCGTGGCCGCGGCGCTGGGCTGGTCGGGGCTGGGCTGTCGCATGAAGTCCTCAGCAAGAGGAGGCGGGGGCCCACGGGAGTGGTCACTGACCCCTGAGGCCCTCCGGGGGCTGCTGGTGGCCAAGGCATCCTGTGGGATGGCGTGGCTCCGGAGGAGGAGGGCCTGGCCCTCCACAGCACAGCGAGTGTGCCTCAGCTGTCCCTGCACCCCCGGTAGCCCTGGGGATGGGGTCCGGGGCTCAGGGCCCTGCCTGCTGGGGCCGGGCGCAACCAGAGTGGGCAGGCCCATGCAGGAGTCCTTCCTCCTTGTCTCTCCAGGGCGTGTGCAGCCCACTGGCCCAGACCTGGGGGTCAGGGGTCCTGGCCCCCTGCAAGGGGAAGGGGCAGATCTGCATCCCGCCCGCGCTCGGTGCTGGGTTTGATGCTGTGCCTGCGGGACTGGGCCCCGGAGGCAGGTGCAGTATGGGGGCGGCGTGGGCAGTTAGCGGCTGATGCATGGCTCCTGGCCGGCAGCTGGCCTCCGTCGCAGGGCTGGAGGTCAGACATGCCCTGCCCAAGTCCCAGGCCCGCACAAGGGCTCCTTAACACAAGGTGACGTGTGAGACCAGCTCAGCCTGGCCCGGGCCCAGGGTCAGAGTGCTCTGTCCCAAGTCTGTGGCATCCAGCTATGTTCCCCGGAACAGGGTAGGGGTTTCTGCACCCCCATTCCAGTTCCCAGCTCCCCCTGAGGCCCTGCCACTGGCCTGTGATCCCCAGACCGCTGGGGGTGCTGGATCCTCTCCCGTCGCTTGCCCTGGGCCCTGGCAAGGGCCTGTCCCTCGAGGGCTCTGGGAGGTCGAGGCCCAGGTGGCGATGAATGTGCCGGCCATGGGCCACTGTCCCTCCCTCCTGGTCAGACCCTGCCCTCAGCTCTGAGGCCACCAAGGCCCCTCCCTCCTGCGGGTCCCTCTGCACTTGCAATCAGGCACCACAGTGAGGTCGTTCTGCAGTTGGGGGGACCCGGCTCATCCCCGTGGCCTCTGTGGGCCCCTCCACGGGTGCTGCTGGGAGTGGGCCGGCGGTGCCCGGGGGGTACCTGCTCCAGCCTCCGAGCACCTGGGGGCCACGCCCCCTGCCGTGCGGCCGTGGATGAGAGGCCGGGGGCCAGTGGGATTGTATCCGCCCCAACAGGAAGGCCCAGACTTGGCCTGGGGGTCAGAGTTGCCCACCCCTCTCCCTAGAAGAGGGCGAGTGGGGGTCGGGGCTGGTGGGCCAGCTGGAGTCCTGGGACGCGTGGGTAAGAGGCCCCTGGGAGATGAGGAGTCTGGGCTGGTGTTCCCTGGGGGTGGCCGGGCCCCCAGAGACCTGGCCACACCTGGGTCAGCGTCCTGGTTGTGAGGCTGGGGCGGGAGGAGCCGGCGCAGGATGGACAGACTGACGCGTGTTCTCTTTGGTCTAGGGAGCGGCTGCCTCAGCCCCTGGCCTGCTGATGATGCACTCAGGTAGGCCCCAGCTCGGGACAAGGGAAGTGGGGGCGCGGTGGCTGCCCACGGCTCAGCTGGAAGCCCTGCAGCAGACAGGGAGGCAGGCGCTGGTGGACACCGGGAGGCCGTGGACGGAGGCTGACACGGGCACTGGAGGGGGACAGTGTGCAGCGGCGAGGAGCCCTGGCCCGGGTGGGGCGGGTCCAGGCAGGGAGCTGAGGCCAGGGTGCGGCCAGCTTGCCCAGAGGGGTGTGTGGATGGAGTGGGTAGAGTCAGGCCGCCCTGGAGACTCGGGGTCTCCAAGGCCTAGTTAGAAGGTGAAGGCTGGGCAGAAGCTGGCCGTCACCCAGGGGAAGGCCTGGAGGGTTGGGGGAAGCTGAAGTTTGGGGAAGGTTGGCCTTGGGCAGGGTGGGGGGGGTAGCTGGAGGTCAGGGGTCAGCTCTGTGCCTTATCTTCTTGGTGGAGCCTCTGGGCAGGGGGGCCTGACGAGCTTAGATCCTCCATCCTTCTTCAGAAACGCATGATGTCTGTTGGGGCCGGACCCTGCAGGCTGACCCGGAGTGTACCTTTGGGGGCAGGAGGGTGCAGGCAGGGCCGGTGGCAAGCAGCGTCCACAGGAAAGGGCCACACCGGCTGGCTTTGGGGTTCCCTGGCTCGGGATAGGGCCCTGAGGACCACCCCCAACAACGTTATCCCCTGACACCCACTCCCAGACGGTCCTAGACACGTCCTCCTGCTGTCCACCCGCCTCCCCGTGGGGCCCTGTGGACATCTTTAACCCTGACAAGGGGTGGGGAGGGGATGCCTGCCGGAGGATACAGACCCTTTCCACTGAGACCAGGGGCTGGGGGAAGTGGAGCCCGAGCTTGGCAAGGACAGAGATGACCCGGGCCCCAGATGGTGTGGCCTGAGCCCCGGTGATGGCGGCAGGAGAGGCCAGGGCCACGCTCATCCGTCCTCTTCTCTGTTCTGGAAGGTGGCTTCTAAGATGCCCATTCCATTTTGTCCTCTATCCCTTGGCACACGCCTCCTTCTCCAGGCAGCCTGCCCTGATTTTCCCTGGCCTCACTGGTCTAGGTGTCTCCCGTGGGTGCCTCTGCCTGTCACCTTGGGTTACGTGGGAGAGGGTCTGCACTGGCCCCCTCCAGACCGGTTGAGGGAGAGTCCCACACTGCTGGGGTACAGATGGGTATACACAGCCCTCGTGGACACGGTGTGCCTGGGAGGGGAGCGGGCCCTGCCAAGGCTGCCCGTCCGCTGGGAGGCGGCTCCCTGCCCTATGATACATTCTGTGGTCACAAATGCAGCCGGTCTACAGAACCCTCACCTCGCAGCTGAGATTCTCTGGGGATTGAAAACAGCCCATCGTTGGCTTGAGAAGCTCGCGGGACGCTCTCCGAGCTGCCCGTCAGAGCGTGCCCTGTGGCATGACCTGCCTCTGCCCCCGTGCACCCAGGCACCCAGAGCCCTAAGCCTGGCTTGGAAGCTGAGTGTCCGGAGGGCCCCCCACCCCATGCTCCTTGGAATCAACACGCCTGTTTCCCCAAACCTGGAAGGTGGTCCCCTGTGTCCAGCAGAAGCCTGCTGCCTTCCCTCCTTGAGGACACCCCTCTCTCCTTCCGTCCGATGCTCTGGCCCCTCCCTCCCTCCTTCCCTCTATAGCAGGGCCTCGGGAGGGGCGGGGCGGGGCGGGGCGCTGCGAGTCCTCCTCATCTGGGACCAGTCCTGGCTCTGAGTCTCCCGGACCCCCGCTCCCCGCGTGCAGGCCTCCCCTGGGGTCTGGAGGGCCTCGGGCACCTGTGTTCCGTATGCGTATCAGGAAGTGGGTGCGGCATCCTGAGGGGGTCCCGTCCTGCAGGGACCATGCATTGCAAGGAGGGGGGTGTCTCTCAGGGCCTCCAGGCCGGGAGGGGCAGGAACCCTGTGACTTGCTTTGGTTCATGGAATCAGGTGGGGGCACCGACACGGCCGGGCCCAGTCGGCTCTGTGGGCCTCGGTCTGTTCCTGGCCGAGCTCAGGGCCTCTGGGGCCTCCACCCTGCTGGGAGCAGGCCGGCGGTCCGGTGCCCCCCACCCCGGGCCTTGCTGGGGCGGCGAAAGGGCACGAGGGTGAAAGGCACCCATGCGGTGTGGACCTTCAGAAGGCGCCCTGTGGCAGCAGGTGCCGTGTGGTGGGCTGGGGCCCTGAGCGAGACGGGCTGCCTGCTGGAGCCCCCCAGCCCTGGGCCTGGCTCCCTCGACCTGTGAGCAGGCGGCTCAGACAGGGTGTCCTGAGCAGCTTCAACCCTCTGCCTGCTCTCACCCCCTTGATTCTGAGGAGTAGAGAGCGGCTGCCCCCGTGTGACTGTGGCCCAGGGGTTCCTGAGGGTAGGGGTGTGGGGGTCTGCTGGAGAACAGCCAGGTTGGTCCTTCCTTGAGGCCTGGTGTGCAGGGCTCCTGGGCCAGTGGGGAAGGGTGGGTCGGCTGTGCGTCCTTGCAGCCCGAGAAGGATCCCTCCGGTGCCCTGGCTGTGGCTGCGCCCGCCCCACACCGAGGGGGGTATAGAGTGCCATCTGCTGCTAGGACATCGGGGAGGAGCAGGGGGGCATTTCTTGGATGGGGGAGGACTCGAAGTGCCTGGGGCCATCCTGGAGGAGGTGTCACTGTGGATGGAAGTGCGGGCCTGCACTCGCAGGGGAGGGGTTTTCTGGGGAGACTCACTGGTCCAGAGAGGGTCCCTGAAGCCTGGAGCCGCGGTGGGGGTGGGCGGTGACCCAGGAGGACAGCCAAGGGGGTTGAGGGCAGGGGGCAGGGACTGAAGAGAGGGCAGTGTGGCCACCTGACCGCAGGCCACGGGGGCGTCCAAGGGGGCGGCTCAGCAGTGATCAGCCCGCGGCATCGGGGAGAGGGGCACACCCTTTCTAGAAGCTCACTGGTGAAGGGTGGCGAAGGGTGGTGCTGGGTCTGGGAGGGGGAGCGGGTGGGTCTCAGGATGGCGGTGCTGGGCCAGGGGAACCGGGGAGTCGGGGGCCCGGGGGGGCTCCCAGGCCCTGGCCAGGCGCAGGGTGGGAGGCATGCCAGACGGCGTGGGTGCAGAGTTCTTTGCCCCTGGAGACTCACTGTCATTGCCCCCGCAGGAGCCCCAGGGCCCGAGAGACCGTGCAGCGAGGCGCCCCCCTACGTGAACATCCCGGTCAGCCCCTCCTCCAAAACGCAGCTGCACTACATGGGCCTGGAGCTCCAGGGGGCCAGCGCAGGGATCCGAGGTGGGTCCCCACGTGGGGGCCTTCCCCTCCCCGGGCGCCTCAGGCCGCCGCAGGGGAGGGGGCTTCCTCCCCCTCCCGGGTCCCCCCCAGTCCATGCTTTTGCTGAGCTGCGTCCCGAGGGTGTGGCCCCACCTTCCTCCCAGCTTAGCAACCCCCCCAAGCTCCGGTCCTGGATCCCATCACCTCTTCCAGGCCGAGGCCTCTGCGGGAGGCATGGGCCACGCAGGGCTTCCTGGAGGCGGGGGGCGGGGGGCGGCCGGGCCAGCTCACCCGGGGCTGCTTCCAGGGGCTGGCGCCTCCCGCTATGCACAGATCGACATCACAGCTACCGAGGCGGCCCACAGGGTGGGGGCCCAGCATGCACAGAGCCGGGAGGAGCGGCTGCCGGAGCTGGAGCGGAGGAGGAAGGGCGCCCTACGGTGAGGACACCCCCTGCCACGACGGGGCAGCTCACTGAGCCGGAGTCACTTCTGCTGGCCGCGGCCGAGGGCACCAGGGAGCCCGCCAGCTTTGCTGCATCCCGGGCGGTCTGGGCCCTGTGACTGGGGCCTCCTGGCTGCAAGGTGGCCACGGCTGGTCCCCACGCCTTCCCCGCCCCACTGGTCACTGCTGCCCAGACCTGACCCTTCCTTTGGCCTCCATGAGTCACGCGGGACCTCTGGCAAGTCGGGGGGAGCCACGCGTCCAGGCGTCAGGCAGCTTGCAGTTGGTCCCCTGAGACAGAGCAGCGTGTCGCTGCAGGTGCCCTGGGGGGATTGGACAGCAATGTCCACGGCTCTGGGATGCAAAGCACCCTCCCCTTCCCTGGAGGTGGTGGCCCCCCAGCTGAGGCCAGGCATGCCCTTGGGAAACAGGGCCCCAAACCACAGCAAGGCCGGACCAGGTCCCACCTCTGCTGAGCGTCCTGCAGTCGCCTCCGGCTGTCCCACGCCTGGGTCACCACTGCCCTGTGCCTGGGGACCCTGCCGCCCAGGAGCCCTGGGGGCGGCGGGGCTGTTCCCCCTTCAGACCCACCAGGCTCCTAATGTGGCCCCACACACGTTTACCTGACTGCGTTGCTTCTTAGGACCCATTACTGTTGGTCGTGCAGATAGTTTAAAATCGTTAATGTTCTATTTTTAACATGCACATTATTTTCCTGAAGGATGAGGTGCTTTCTCTTTCTTGGGCTGTGGCTTTGCCTGACCCTGGACACGGCTCTGTCGTCTTGACACAGCTCAGGCGCTCAGGTGCCGGGTTATCCCCACCTTGGTGGGTCTGGGTGGGGTTTCCCTGTTTCCTCCCAACGGTGCCTGTGGCCTTGGGGAAGTTTTGTGGCATTTTCATGACTCAGTGAGCAGGAGGGAATGGTCATGGCTCCACTGGCTGATGGGTGTCTGGGTCGCTGGGAAGTTTCCAGAGTTGGTGGGGGTGCTTCCTGACATTCCTCCCTAGTCATGAAAGGGAAGCATTGGGTTGGGCCTTCTGACCCTGGTCTCCTAGAGGAAATGGGGCTCTGATCTGCCTGATGGGTCTCCAACCATAGCCTATTCAGACACTTTCTTCCCGCCCTTTCTCCCTCCCATCCACCCACCATCCATCTACCACCCACCATCCATTTGCCATCCATCCACCTTCCATCACCCATCCATCCACTATCCACCCATCCATCTATCCCCCATCTGTCATCCGCCCACCACCCATCCTCCATCCATCCATCATCCATCTACCATCTATCTTCCATCCACCATTCATCTATCATCCATCCATCAATTCATCACCCATCCACCATCCGTCCACCCATCAACCATCATCCATCCACTGTCCATCTGCCATCCATCCATCATCCATCTGCCATCCATCTATCCATCACCCATTCGCCATCCATTGTCCACCATCCATCCACCATCTACCATCCACCACTCATCTATCATCCATCCATCATCAATTCATCACCCATCCACCATCCATCGTCCACCAACCATCCACCACCCATCATCCATCCACCATCCATCCACATCCCTCTCCCACCCCACCCCGATCCACTAAGGACCCAGTGAGTCTGAGGCTACTGTAAGTGGTTGACACTCATGTTCTCCTCCTCAGCTGAGATCCCTCAGGTTGATGGGTTTCAGAGCACCAGCACCCTTTTCCTTGCCTCATCTTCTGAGCTGACACCTGACTATTGGGGAAGCCTGCAAGGCAAGGCAGAAGTAGGCCCAGTCCTGAGCCTCTGGGATGCAAAGGCCTCAGGGTTGATCCTGCAAGCAAGTCAGATTCTAAGCCTAAAAGGCCCCCACTAGCATGCCCTGGACAAGATTCTGGGGTAGTCAGACTTCCCTTTTAAATTACAAGGGGGGAGCAAAGCATGGGCTGCACACCCCAGTCCAGGGTTCCAGTAGTGAGCAGTTGCCCTCTGGGTGGGAGGGGGCTCAGATGTCCATGCACACCAACTCTGGATAGGCAACTTGGGGTTCTGGGCCTTACCAGTGACCTTGAGCGGCTGGCATCTGGGGTCTCTTGTTTTCAAAATGAAATAAGGCTGCTGTGTTTTTGTAAGGCTGAAACAGGGTTCCGGACGTATTAGGCATTCATGAAGAATAGCTCCCCGAGGGGCTCAGCAGGCCTGGCCCAGGCCACCACAAGCATCTGGTGCTTTGGCCGCGGAGGGCGGCCCCCTCCAGCGCAGGAGGCCCCGGGGGCGCTGGGTTCGGCCAGCTGTAGTCAGCTGTGGCAGCCACCCAGGCAGTGTGGGACAGCCGCCTGTCCTTCCTCCAGAGCTGGGAAGGGCGGCACAGCGCCACACGGGGACGGCCACGTGGCACGGTGTGGCTGTGGAGGAAGGTTTTAGGGACCCTGTGGAACGGAACACAAGTTCCACCGGCCTGATGCGCAGCAGAGACATGGAGTTTGCAGCAAGAAAAGGGTTTATTCAAGGGGCAGCCAGAGGAGGAGACGGGGGTAGGGGGAAGGGGGTGCGGAGGGGGAAGGGGGTGGGGGCGGGGGGCAAGCCTCACATCCGCCTCCTCAAAGGGGAGTCTGGGAAATCGGGGAAATGTGAAGGTGAAGGAAAAGGTCTGGGTGACAGGTTGCAGCTGGGATCAGTCCTATTAACGCTTCGGTTACCAGTTTCACCCGGCCCTCGACTTGCGCCCAGGAAGGGCTCCCCACCTTTGCCGAGAGGTAAGAGGTGCCCCGGCCAGGACCCCTGCAACCTACCCTGCACCACCGCCCTTCCCTACCTCCGCCTCTGCCCCCAAGGGCCCTCCTTGGGCGGCCGCACCGCACACACGGCTGGAGGCCGGGGGCCCCCGGAGACGGGGTTGGATTGAGTGTCTGAATTCTGGAATATCAGCCTAGACGCTTCAGGGACTGCGCCACCCAGGTGCCCCATCCCGCGCCATTCTTGATTCTGAGTCCCGACCTCTCTTCCTGCGACACTTGGAACCCGGTCTCTGCCTCCATCGCCTTTAAATCTTGTAGTTATTACTTTCGTCTCTTACCGGGGCCTTTTGTTCTGTGAAGTTGCTCTTCACTTGCAGGGGCTTTTCTTGGACATTTTGACGTCTCCTCTCTGGCCTCTCCTGGGTCCTGCTCCGACCGCCGAACCACCAGCTTGCCCTTGGAGTTCGTGTATGATTTTCCCTTTCTTCTTGTGGTTCCTTATGTGACTTCCTCCACGTTGATGTCTTAGTCTTCAGGGGTTGCACTTCTGCCATCAGACTTTCATTCCCGAGCTCGTTGCGGCTTCTTACGGTGCCCCGTCCTTGCTCGGACGCGCTTTTATCTCTCGGAGGAGTTTCTTACTTACAAACAGAAAGCCACACAAAACTTACGTGCATGGCTTGACACGCTTTCACACATGGATGACCCATGTCACCACTGTCCACGAGCAGAGGGCATTGCCCATCACAGACCTTCCTTCCGGCCCTTTGGAGGCAATGCCCACCGTGCCAGGGGACCACTGTTTTTTTTTTTTTTTTTTTTTTTAAAGATTTTTTATTTATTTATTTGAAAGAGAGAGAATGAGAGAGAGCACATGAGAGGGGGGAGGGTCAGAGGGAGAAGCAGGCTCCCTGCCGAGCAGGGAGCCCGATGCGGGACTCGATCCCGGGACTCCGGGATCATGACCTGAGCTGAAGGCAGTCGCCCAACCAACTGAGCCACCCAGGCGCCCGGGACCACTGTTTTGATTGCCATCCCTAGCAACTAATTCTGTCTCTTTTATAGTTCGCTTCTTTGGCTCAGAATGTTGAGATTCTCCAACAATGCAGATGACTCTGCACCCATTCCATTACACAAACATACCAGAATTTTTTGTCTATTCTGTGAGGGAACATTTAGCTCGTTTCTGGTTGTGAATGAGATGAAGCTGAACATGGATTGGACAGTTTTCTTGTGTTGGGCCTTCTGTGGCCACACACCCTCCACTCCCCTGGAAACACGTGTGATCGGAGGAGGAACTGCAGGGCACAGGTGAGCAAATGTTTACAAAGAAACTGCCGACATTTTGCACAGCGGCTTTACCATTTTGCACATTCCCCCAGCAACAGGAGCGTTCCAGTACGTGCCCATCCTCAGCCAACCCTTGGTAGGGGCCTATTTTGAATCGTCCTCATGGGTGTGGAGTGCCGGCTCATTATAGTCATTTGCATTTTTCTGATGACTAATGATGCTGAGCAGCACCTTCTCATGTGCTCATTGGCCATTTGGAGGCCTTCTTCAGTGAAATGCCTGTTTAATTCCCGTGTCCATTAGAAGGCTGGGTTGTAGAATTTTGGGTCTGAGCCTTGTCTCAGACGCAGGCTTTGTGACCGCTCCTCATTCTCCAGTTGGTTGGTTGACTTTCTTAATGATACATCTTGACAAGAAGTTTCTGATTTTGAGGAAATGCAATTTTTGTTCCTCTATTATTGATGGTTGGAGCCTTTTGTGGCCTGTTTTAGATGTCTCTGTCTACCCTCTGGTCGGAAAGATGCTCTCCTGTTTTCTAGAAGCTTTACAATTTTAGCTTTCACGTGTAGGTCTATGAATCACTGTAAATTACTTTTTGAATGTGGTGTGAGGTCCACTTTCCCCCCAAACCTAACAAGTTGCTCCAACTCCATTTACCGAAGAGAATTTCTTTCCTCAAACTAGAAGTTTCTAGTTCTTTCCTCCAGAATTTAGAGGTTCTATTTGGTTCTTCGAATCTGTTACGTGATTCTCTTGCTTCCTGTTCTTGGAAACTGTTTTTTGAGTTTGTCCTGTATTCTGTAAACACTGAGTGGGACTGCTCTATCATGTGTAACAGTCGTCACTGGTCCCTCTGATCTCTCGTGTCTTCATGGGGCTGCTTGAGCTGTGACCCCTGCGTTCTCACTCATGGGGTCTTGCTGTCTTCTGTGCCTGGTTATTTTCAAAGTCAGTTTGTGAACATTTATGCTTGGGTTTGTTTGAGAAGGATGACAATTTCTTCCAGAGAGGGGTCTTTCACTTCTGCCAATCCAGAAGCACCAGAACCACTGTTTGTGGCCTGAGGTCCAGGGCCAAGTTATGGGGGCTGGCCCTCTTGTCTCCACCCTCTCTGCCAGGAGCCAGCCAGACCCCCTTTCCTGGGTCAGGGGAAGGGGTCCAGGTTCATAGGGAGGCTCTCCCTTTAGACACCCACCTTATACCAGCCTGTGGCCCTGAACCCAGGGTGCCTGGATGGCCATGTTCTTGGGGTGACGTGCAGTCTCACACTGCACAGCCTTCCTGGGCTCCTGTGATCCCTTTTGCCTTTGGTCATACCTTCGCAGGCTCAGATTTCCACTGCTCTTCAGGAGAGGGGTGTAATCCCCAGTGCAGGGGCTCCTTTAAGTGAGTTAATCCCTGGAGTCGGAAACCCCCTTGTTCTTTCCTGTCGAGTGCATCTGTGGTTGCACATTTCCCCCAGAAGCTTCCCCTGACCACAGCCCCCAAAACTGGTGTGTAGTATTTCCACTAGCATTCAATTAAAAGTATTTTCTAACTTCTAATGTCATTTCTTCTTTGGTCCATGTGTATTTTTAAAGTTCCTGAATATACTTTTTTTACAAAAAGATTTTATTTATTTGAAAGAGTGAGTGAGTGAAAGAGAGCATGAGCTGGGGGAGGGGCAGAGGGAGAAGCAGAGGGAGCAGCAGACCCTCCACTGAGCGAGGAGCCCAGGATCATGACCTGAGCTGAAGGCAGACGCTTAACAGACTGAGCCACCCAGGCGCCCCTAAAGTTCCTGAATATACTTATTTTAGTTGTCTTTTCATTACCGAGTCCCTCCTTGGTTGCAATAAGGTTAAAGAATGTGATCCGTATTATCTAACCTTGCTGCTGAGTTACTGGAATTTGCTTTGTGCCCTGGGCCAGTCAGCTTTTAAAATGTTCTGTATGTATTAAGAACATGTTTTCTCTAAAGGGCATGAACAGATCATGCTTGCTGACTGTGTAGTCCATCCATCTGTGTTCTTCATTAGTGACCTGAGCTTCTGTGGTGAGAAGCTGGCAGAGCGGCAGCAAATTAAACAAAAATGAGACAAGAAAGGAAACAGAGAGTAGAAGCCAATGAAAGAAAACGAGCGAACAACAGAGGGAAATCAGTGAAGCTGAAGCTGGTTCTGGGGGAAAAGGTCTAAAACTCGACAGAGCCTAAGCTAGACTGACTGGGAGGCAAAGGGGAGCAGCAGTTACCAACACCAGGAACAAAAAGGGGGCATCACCACAGATCTGACAGACGCTAAGAGAACACTTTACACCAATTGTTTTAACAACTCAGATACAATTCCTTGACAAACATATAAAGACACAAGAGGGGCCCCTGGGTGGCTCAGTCGTTAAGCGTCTGCCTTTGGCTCAGGCCCGCATCGGGCTCCCTGTTCATTGGGAAGACTGCTTCTCCCTCTCCCCCTGCTTGTGTTCCCTCTCTTGCTATGTCTCTCTCTCTCTGTCAAATAAATAAATAAAATCTTAAAAAAAAAAAAAAAAGACACAAGAAGTATTAGAAAATCCAAACAGCCTTGTATCTAGTTTTAAATAAAACTGACAAAACTCTAGCATGAGGAGCACTTCTGGCCTAGGTGGTCCGCCCACGAAGGCTGCTGCACACTAAGGAAGAAAGAAGGCCAAGTCCACACACACCACAGCAGAGCCTAGCAAGGGGCACTTCCAGCTCATCTCAGTCCAATGTGATACCAAACGGGACAGACTACATGTGAGGACAAGAACCACGGGCCAGTGTCCCTCAGAGGGGTATAAACAAACATCCTTAGGCAAGCATCAGCAAAGCTAATCCAGCTGCGCAGAGGAAGGACCGTCTTCATGGCCAGTGGGGTCCATCCGGGAATGCAGGTTATTTCAGCATTTGGAAATCATTGAGGTTCACCACAGTAACTCAGTCAAGAAGCAAACCTTTACGATCATCTCAATAGATGCTCGAAAAGCACTTGACAACTTTCAACACTCATTCACAAAAAACTCCTAGCAAGCTGGGATAGACCCCCCTGCAATCTACAAAAGCATCCATAAAACTCCATCATAGCTCATGTGACACTTAACTGGAAGACTGAATGTGTTCCATGAAGGCTGGAAGAGAGGAACGTCCCCCTCTGCCCTGCTGCTCAACACTGGGCTGGACAAGCCGGCCAGTGTGCATGGAGAAGGCACAGCACTCGAGGGAGGAGAAGCGAGACTGCCGTCTGGCAGGGGACACGAGCAAGCGTGCAGATAAGCCGGGATCTGGGGCACTGGACGTGAGGTCAGCATGTGAAAGCAACTGCACGATGAAACGTACGAGTGCCAATAGGATAAAACATCAAACACCTAGGAATGAACCTCGTGAAAACATGCAGGCTCTGTGTACAGAGAGATGCAAGACGGGCTAAACAAGCGGGTACAGACGAGAAAGGCTCACAAGACTCGATACTAAGATGTCGATTCTCCTCAAAGTGAGCTACATATTTAAGGCGATCCCTGTCAAAATTCTAGTCGTTTTTATAAGAAATGAGAAGCTGATTCTAAGATATATATGGAAATGCAAAATGCTTGTAATGAATCTTTAAGAAGAAGAGGAAAATGCATACCACCCGATTCCAAGCTTTATTTTAAAGCTACTGTAATCAAGACAGTGAGAGCGTAGAATAGTCTAGATACAGAGCCACACCTGTACGCTCACCTGAGTTTTGACAAAGGCACCGAACCAAGTAACAGAGGAAAAGGTCTGTATGAAAAACGGTGCCAGAACACAAGGAAACAAGTGGGCGTCGGTCAGGAAGCAGGATTCACCACAGGTGACATCCCGGCACGAGGACGCCCTTCAGCAATGAACCGAGTCCGTTGCAAGTACACGCCACGGCTGGACTTAACACACAGATGCCGAGGGGAAAACGCCAGACACGCGAACACATCTTCATGGCCCGATCCCTTGCGTTTGAAATGCATGGACAGGCACAAGCGAGCTGTGGTGAGAAAAGCTGGCGGCGGCCTGGCGGGTGGACGGCTCGCTCTGGGGACAGCCATTCGGGCACCCACGGCCGTCAGCACATGCGGAGCACAACACCGAGCACCCGTGCCTCGGCGAGCACTCCCTCCTCACCGCTCAGTCGCCCCAAACCTGGGAGTCGAGCAACTCCACGGCTGGAGACCGCGAACCTGCAGCCGGAACATCAATGACTACAGACCGGAGACCGAGGGCCCTTGTGCCATCCTGCGGGTTGGCGGCAGATGCAGGCCCTCCGTGAAACCAGTTGGGACCGTCCTGTGTCGGAATGAACGCGCGTTCCGCAGGACCGTCTCTGTGACTCCTGGGAGCCGTGGGCGCGCATGTGCGAGCGTGCACACACGGGACCCTTCACCACGGCGCTCCCAGCCGTGTTCTTACCCAACATCGGATACAGCTCTAAAATGTCGTACCTTCATACAATGGGACGGCACCGGGCACTGAAGAGGTGCACGGGTCCGCTAGACAACGTGGCTGAGTCTCATCAACGAAGGGCCTAGAAGCAGACGCCCCACCCCGACACACCCACCTGGCCGTTGTAATTTCCTAACAGGGAAATCCAACCTGACTCATCAAGAACGTGGGTCTGTCGGGGTCCATTGAGGCGGCATTAATAGTTCAGACTGGGGGGGCCAGAAGCAATCACTGTCCCGCAGATTCGGTCTGGCGGGGGCCTGCTTCCTGGTACGCAGACATGGACTTGTTGCTCCCTGCGGGCCAGGGATCTTTCTGGGGACTTTTCTTAGGACGCTGATCCTATTTGAGGGCTCCATCCTCATGATCTAATTACCCGAAGTCCCAGTGCTGACACCCTCACCATGGGAACTGGGTTCTAGTATATGAGCTTGGGGGGACACAAGCCGAGTGGTCAGCTATAGGAGAGGGGAGCGTGGGGGTATCCTAGGATCCGGGTAACCTCTACTTGTTGACCTGGGGGTGGGCTCCGGAGTACTTGCTCGGGAGGACTCACTGAGCCATGGGCGTCTTGTGCCCTTTTATGAATCCGTGTTTCCCTTCACAGCGATCACCTGGAATCTAAAAGCAGTGTGGCCACTGGCCCTGGCTTGGGGGCCTGCCGCGGTACCCGCGGTCTCCAGAGGCAGAGGCAATGACAAATCATGAAGACCCGTCTGGTTCTCTGGTATGTCTGGAGGCCAAGAGCTCCCTCTAGTTGTCGGTTCCTGAAATGGCAAACTGAGTCAAGTGTCTGCTTCTGTTTGCCTCCCTGCCTGGGCCTGACCTCCTCCCAGGCCTTGCACCCCACAGAAGGGCACTTGGAACATGAGTGTGCGGCTGGAGCTCGGAGACCCATAGGCAGCTCTGCGGAAGCCGGGCAATGAGCCCTTTTCTGGTCCTCAGCCTCCACCCGAGCTGTCGTCATGCTGCCCCGCCCATCAGGCTGGGCCACAGCCATGCACACTAGGGCCTGCTGCGAGGGACACACCAGCCGCCCGGTCAGCGGCACGCATGATGTACGTGGACGCCTCGGGAGCACGGCAGGAAGGCCCACCCATGCCCAGTGGCCCAGGGAGGAGGGGGCCACCTCCCGGCTTGGTTTCAGCGCATCCTGACACGCGAAGTCCTAGCACAAGCCCCCTTGGACTTGATTCTTAGAATAATGGCTCATGGGAAAGCTGTCTGGTGGATCCCAACATGCCAGCCGAGGCCGGGACGCGGTCGATGCCGAGTGCAGCGCTGGGATCAAGCCTCTTCCAGGTTCAAACCTGGGAACTGTGTCAGACCCCCACATGGACCGCCTATGGTGAAGTCAGAGAAGGGTCCCCGTGGAGCTGTCACACCTCAGTGAGACAATCAGCCACGTTCGCTGGACATGGAGACCCCCGGGGCCCAACCTCAGGTGGGCAGGGAGACGCCAGTGGGGCCACTGTGAGCCCGCCCCAGGCCTGTGCCAGAGGTCACCCCTGCCCCCCAAGTTCACCTCCTCCCTGCTCTCGCGGGTGAAACCCGGGGGACTGTGGCCCTGGGAGGCCCTCGGCTCCCCCGCCGTGTCACGCAGCAGAGAAGACGGGGAGTGGGGTGCGGGGGTGGAAGAGGAGCAAGACGCAGACGCAGAGACCGCTGAATGACAGGTCGGACCACTGACGATTTAGACCGTGAGACGTGTTTTTAAAGACACAGCGTTGCAGCGGCAGATTCACGCACGTCTGATGCTCCGCTCGTCGGGCCCCCGGGGGGTCGGAGCAGTTCTTCCGCGTCAAGGATGCCTGGCCGGTCCCTGCCACGCCTCCCCCAAGGTCCTGTTCGTGCCCAGCGCCGCCCCAAGCCCCTGGGCCGTGCTGAGGCAGACCCCTGGCGCCCTGCTTCTTCCTTCTTCTTCCGGCGGGCTCCTGCGGCCTCAGAGTTCGTTGTGGCGAGCTCTGGAGATGCGGCCCGACAGGTCCTGTAAATGCTTCTTCACCTGAAAACAAGGCACAGTGTCAACCCAGCTGCCACCTGCCCAACATCACGATACACACGGCCTTAGGAGGAAAACTCCTGAGCTCCTCGCTTTTCTTATTTGCAAGTCCGCCACCAGGAAACAGTCAGGGATCAATCACAAAAGTAGCTCCACGCCAACTAGAACACCAGCGCCCGCTAGAAACCAACCGCGCGGGGCAGAGGATGCGCGGACAGAGGGCGCAGGGCCATTTCCGCAAAGGCGGGGAACAGAGATGCCACCTGGCTGCCCTCCCCCCTCCCCCGACAGAGCCCAGCGTCTGCTGAACCCGCGCTCCCGCCAGGGCAGTGAGGCAGAGAGCATCCTGCGCCCGCCCCTTCTCCGGCACGGCCGGACTCCCCTCTGCAAGTTCCCAGCCCGCGGCGTCACTCTGGAGCCGGCCTCCCGTGCGGGGTGCTTGCCTTCTCCCCGACAGGCTGCCAGCCGGGCACGGACCCACGCGCCCCTCCTCTGTGGCCCTTTGGCCTCGTGTCACTTTAGATTTGGGTGTTTGAATGGCTAGCCCATCCCTGTGGCTCCAGAGTCAGATGCACAAGAGGATCCCTCCTCCCCTGCTCCCTCTAGAGACGACCCACCTCATGTTTCCAGACTGTTCTGTGCGTCCTTCCGCCCCTACCACCAGCCCCTCACAGCGTCCACGCTGCCCGACCGCTTCTTCCCCCCCGCACGGTCCGACCCCGAACCTTCTGCAGGAAGAGCCCGACTTCTGTGCCTGTATGTGCCCCTGATTTGTGGGTCACCACGAACGACCTGACCAGCCCCGGAGTGACCCCACTCTGCTCGGCCCCCTGCCGCCGCCCTGGGATGGTCTGCATTCGCATGAGGGGAAACGTGGCCTCCACGCACACCGCACAGGACTCGGGACCGTCGTTCTGTGCACACGCGGACATGCCACAGCCGCTCCCTCATGCACCCCGAGCGGGATCACGGGCTGAGGGCACAAGCTGGGGGCACAGCTGTCCTGCAGCTCTGAACAGGCCCAGAGGGGATGGCCCGGCCCCCATGGGAGCGGACCAGGCGCCACCAGGCCCAGACGGCCACCTGCCGTCCGCACAGGGGGGACCAGTGCACACGCAGGGCTGCGCGCACCTTGTAGCCCAGCTCCTTGGTCTTCTCCTCCAGCACGGCGTACTTCTCCTTGTTCCGGCTCACGTGCTCCCGGTCCCCGAGGCTCTCCACGTGTTTCAGTTTCTGGTGAGAGATTTCCAGCTGCTTCTGGTAGTGGTTGTGTTTTTCAATTTTGGCTTCAAAGTGCTTAAGCTCCTCCTAGAATAATGTTTCAACAGCCCAACGTCCCCCATCGGCCTCTTCGTGCCACTCCGGGGTCCCCAGCAAACCTCCCCACCCCCTCAGGACACGGGTGGCCGCCGACCAGCACGGCAGAGGGATGCAGGGCGCAGGGAAAGAGGCCAGTGAACACAGCTGGTCTGCCACTCACACTGCGGTTCAGTCTTTCCCAAGTTAGTACCAAGTTCAACAGAAGAGATGTTGCCAAATAACGTGAGCCAGCGTCAGCCAGCACCTTCCTTACCCGGAAGGACTCCAGCTCCTTCTCAGTGAAGTTGGAGGACTTGGCCAGGTCCCACAGATCGATCACTCGGGGTTCCTCGAACTCTGGCAGGAAAGCGGAAACAGTCCCGGTGACTGTGTGGCGGCATCCCATGATGCCCAGGGGCCCCGACGACACTGAGAGTGTGAGCGTCTGGACGCACGCACGCGTTCAGGTGTCTAGTGCCGTCTGGAAGCGAACAGTGTTGTTCTCGTGCACGTTCAGTTCAGTTCAGCTCAGGGCCCCGCTGGAACCTGGCCTCGGCGACACGCTCACTGGCCCGCACCTGAGAGGGAGGGGCCCACTGCAGAGCCACCTCGGTGGGGGAGGGGCGGTGGGAGTCGGGATGGCGGGGTTCCCTGGGGCCTCTGGGCCAGGACTGCCAATCTACCACAGTTCCGGGCTGAAGCTTAGGCCACTGCCCGTCCTTCTGGCTCCAGAGCAAAACCAACCACATGGAAAGGACCCCTTGACCTGAGCCAGCACTCCTGAGCAGACATGGGTGATGGGTGCCCACCTGGGCCACCCACCTCTCCGTCCCTGGAGGAGAGAGGGAGCTGGTCGGAGCTGCCCACCCGCGGGCATGCCGCTAGCTCCCAGCTCCAACACCTCCTCTCTCAGCTGTCCCCTTCCTGCCCAGGGCCCTCCAGGGGCTCGTGGAGAGTGTTCCGGAAGGACTCGGCAGACCACGGGAGAAAATGAGGAGCTGGCTGGGTGTGGCTCCTGGAAGGGGGTGGTTCAGGTGGGGAGGGGCAGCGGTGCAGCGGGCGGCCCCAGCACCACGTCTCCTGACCTGCCGCATCCCCAGGCGCAGAAGCACCTGCCGCATCCACGCTCCGTAAGCCCAGGCGGAGAACACGTGAACGGGTAAGAAGCCAGAGGGAGAGGGCAGCCTGGCAGAGAGAGCTCCTGAACACGGCTCTAGCACAGGGCCCGGGGTGGGAGCGGAGGAGACAGCGGCCCGCCACGGGATGGCGTGGGACGCACAGCTGTGATACCCAAACGTGGGTGCTCACCGGCCTCGGTGCCGTAGCCCCGGTGGCTGACTTTGCGCAGGCGGTCGTAGCCCTGGTTGATGCCCCGCAGCCGGTCCTTGAGCTCTGTATGCTTGCTGTGCAGCACGTCCTCCTTGACGCGGCTCACGTCAAAGGGGCTGATGACGTTCTCCTGGATTTCTGTGCCGAACAGGTGCCGTGAGCCGCCGCCGGGGACACCCCTGCTGGAGCGGAAACGCCCCGGGCCGACCCCAGTGACCCTGCACCCCACCTCCCGCTTTGCTGACTTCCTGAGGGCAAGACCACGGGTTGGGGTGGCATCCGTGTCTGTGTGGGGACGTGACCCACGTCACAGCATCTGACCAGCACGCTCGCGTTGTCAGGGGCGCCCCCATGAGCTCCCACAGGGGAGTCCCAATCAGAAACTGGGAGGACACGGAGGGAGGGCACCCCCCCCCCGCCGGGCCACCTGCAGGAGGGCGGGTGGGGGCACCTTCGGTCCTGCTCAGCGTCTCCAGCAGGACGTTGTACTCGCGCACTTTCTCCCTGTGGTGCTCGAACTCCCGCCGCAGCTTGTCCAGCTCCTCGCTGGAGAACTTCCCCGAGGTCTTCGCCTGGGAGGAGTGAACACACTGTGAGCCTGCCCACGCCCCAGGGTGACCCCCTCCAAGCCGCTTGCCGCGACTCCACAGGGGCCACTGCTGAGCATCCCCTCAGATCAGGCAGGACCCTCGCTCCTGCGGGAAACGCTCAGTGCACTGTCGCCTTGATGACCCTTTAACTAGGGGCCGTAGCAGGACCTGTTGCCAGGCTCCATGGAGAGGTGAGAGCCATCAAAGTGTGAGAACAGCAGGATCCCCAACGGGGCGGGGCAGCGTCCCCTCCTAGGAGGGACCTCAAGCCAGTCACCACGTGTCATCCACCTGCCCTGCGGGGCCATGTGCGGACTCACGAAGAACGCAGGTCCGGGGCTCAGCCCGTTGGCCACAGGGTCCCCTCCACAGTGGACCCGCCCTCCCTCCTGCTCCAGCCCCAGCCCTTGGACGAAGGACGATGGGCTGGTGCGAGAATTCTGATTCTTGGCCCCACTCAGTGTGGTCCAGACAGAACCTGGACAGGAGCTGGGGGATCAGGGGCTGTGGAGTGAGTGACGCCGCAGCCAGCTCAAGCCACCACCTGGTCCCACAGACTGCCTGCACCCACCTGAGGTTTGCACCCCACAGGAGACCAGATGCTGCGAGGCCAGCCCCCACACACCCAGCCCGCACTCTGAGCACACCTTTCTGAACCAGACAGCTCCGACCCAAAACTAAGTGGACACCATACAACACACGGGCCACCACTAGCCTGGCTGTTTACAGATCGTCCAGCCCATTCTGGTCATTCGAGGCTTAGCTCCATGCCACACAGAATTCCTTCTCTGAGAGGGCAGGGAAGGCAGGGAAGCCTCATGGGAGGGACCACGACCACAGAAGAAGAGCCTCATGGTTCCAAGAGGAAAGCTTTGCCCCCAGAGACCCTCTGGAAACAGGGTCCTGTGCAGAAGCAGCCCCTAGCAGCCCCCCTTAACTCTCAACGCTAGGGTGCACACTTTGGGGCTCATGGGAAGCACCGGGGAGTACCTTGTGCCACAGCTTTTCCAGCCTGGGGTCCTCCAGGCTGTCCTCCTCGGTGGGGTCACTGAGGGAGTTGCTGCTCACGGCCCGGGCGTCCTTCCTCCCGTCCAGGCCGTACTTGGCCAGGATCACTAGGGGAGAGACACAGGAGGTGTTACTCCAGTCCCGGCCACTGCCTGCTGGGACCCCCAGGCTCTGCACTCCAGACACACGAACAGTCCGAGTACGGGGAGGGGTATGAGCCCGGGGAGGAGCAGCAAGAAGGGCGCGGAGGGATAACTAGCTCATTGGGCTCTGCCTGGCCCCAGCCTTCCAAGTCTGCTGCTGCACTGGACGCCCTCAGAGGGCAGGTCACACTCGTCTCAGGGTGCGTTCACCAGCCTAGAAGGCGGAAGGTTCTGGATTCCAGCCGTCTGGGTTCAGCATGAACCGGAGCCAGAAACAAACACTCCAGCTAGAAGAAGCCCCACAGAGCTGCAAGCCCAGCCTCTTCTAGTCTCGCTGAGGACACTGGGCCCGGACTCCCTGGGTGTGCACTTGGGGGACACTGTGGTGGACAGGGTGAGGGTGGCCAGCCTGGGCAGCAGAGCAGACCCATCCTGAGACAGAGGCTTCTCCATCAAAACTGGCCCGGACAAGGTGGGCCCAACGTGGCCTATTTCCCACGGTGCTGGTGCACGGCCGGGGGACCGCCCTGCTGCCTGGCCTAGGACAGACCTGGTTACACCCGGGTCCTCCCTTTCACGTCTCCATTCTGGTCTGACCCCACACTTTGTGGTCCCCTCAGTGTGGCTCAGCCTTGTCAATGGTCCTGGGGTGGGGGGACTGAGGGGATGTGGGGGCGCACAGGGCACATCCAGGAGACGGCCAGCTGCCCGGTGAGGGACAAATGCTCAAGAGGGTCTGCTGTGGCGCTCCAGCTTCCCAGTCTCTGGAGTCTTCTGCCATGTCACCCTGGCACCTAGGACGCCCACACCACCGAGTAGAAAACAGATGGCTCCACTTGGGACCCGGACTCAGACACCGGGCTGGAAGCCATGCCCAGGAGGATACGGGCTGGCAGTGGGAGTTCAGGGAGAATGTGCCCCAGGGAGGGAGACGAGAGCTGGCTGACCTCTCTACGCCCTCATGCTCCTTGGTCTTGGCCCCGGGCCATCCACTGGGGGCCGGTTCCTTCCAGAAAGGACGACATACAAAGGATTCTGGGTTCCTCCAGAGCCTTTCCTCGGGAGTATCTCCAGGTCAGGCTCCTGTCCTGGCCCTTTGGAGTGGCCCCCAAACATTCCAGCTGGGTGCAATGATCCCGCATCTCTGTCCACCTGAGCCTTCTGCTATCTTGTCCTGTTTTGCATGTGTCTCATCATTCTAGAATGAGGCCATATGAAACAGCAGTGGACCTTTGTCCTCACCCCAGAAGCAGATACACAACTTGACCTGAACAACACGTAGGTGTCTCATGAGGTCTGACGGTAAGGGATGCAGGGGAGCTGGGAAGACGTCACCAGCTGAGTCAGAAAAGCCTGGATTCAAACTCTGCTGTGCTCAAGTGGTGACTACGGACAAGTTGCTCACCCTCTCTGAGCCTCTGTCACCTGTCTGTGCCTAGGGACAAGTGCCTCAAAGAGGCCTGAGTGGACGTATAGCATTCCGTCTCAGGGACTCCTGTGACCACAGACAACGCGCACTCCACGGGGTGCCGTGTCCGAGGAAGCCAGTGTCTGGCCCCGTGAGCGTGTGGCACAGTGGGTGGGCTGCAGGGCGGACTCTGGGTCCGGCCACACCTGTGGCCACTGAGCCGTGGCTACTTGAGCCCCGACGCCGGGCTCCGCGGGGAGCTACAGTGGGCTCATACTGGCGAGGGCGTGCCCGCGTGCCGGGGCGGGTGGCAGGCCAGGGCGCCAGCAGGCGGGATGGGGACGTGACTTCTACTCGCCGCTCTTCGCTACAGGACAACAGCAAGACCCGTCCGCGCGGGAGCAGCCCCCCCGAGACGCAGCTGAGGTGGAGTGCACGGGGGCGCCCGGGCAGCGAGCTCGGAGTCCTGCCCCGCGCCTGACGCTGCCACGGGAGGGAGGCGGAAAAGGGGGGCCCGAGAGACCTCTCCGTCCTGAGGACGCATGTCTTTTGCATAATGGGCAGCTGGGCAGACGGTTGCTCTGTCTTGAATACCCACAGTAACAAGCAGCTCACTACTTCCCATCTCAACACATTTCCCTCTGTTAGGAAGTTATTTTCGTTACAGATGATCTGAAATCTGCTTCCCCATAACTTCCCGACCCTGGGAACATCCCTACTGTCTCTTCCAGGTGCCCACGGGAGACTGGGTGGCCCCGGCCTCCCTCCTGGGCCAAGTCGCTGCAGGGCCCTCAGCTGCTGTGCGTTACTGCACCCAGCACCCGTCCTGACTCTCCCCACAGTCTGCCAAGAGCCTCGCAAAACAGCCCAGCAGCTGTGGCCAAGGCTGGTCGCTCCTCGGAGGTGAGCCACGGCATGGGCTGCAGCGGGGCGGCCCCGCTCCCCTCCCGCCCCCACCGCAGCCCCCCACCGCGCTCAATAGGAAAGACAGGTACCACTGAGGCTGCGCGTGACTTTGGCCTGCTTCTCTCCATCTTCGTCGAGACCCTCGGCCTTCAGCTTTTTCCAGGCGAATTCATCCCTTTCTTGCATCTTCAGATCCGCATGGAGCTCGGACAGTTTCACGGGAGAAAGCTGCAGCTACGGAACGAGAGCAGAGGATGCTGACAACCAGTCCCAAGATGAACCAACAGCATCGCCGGGAGACGGCAACCCTGAGAGGGGGTGACCAGGAGATACCACAGATGGGCAGGGGGACGCAGGGTCCTGGCCAGGCAAAATCCCACACGTGTTCCCGGGCAAGACCCTCAGGGGACGGCCACGCTGCAGTGTTCTAGGGAGCCCGCTCTCCAGCCTCACTGTAAGAGGTCCACGGCAGGGCATGATCTAGGAATGCCACGTCCGTGAGGAGCTGCTGGCCAGCAGCGGCCTGAGCACGGGCTGCCAGGCCCTCTCGCTGAGGCCACCTACGGCCACAGGGCCGGCTGCTGCACCAAGACCCCCCAGGGACATTCGTGGGGCCCCGGGTATTGGGGTGTGACGACGGAGGGACACGAATGCTGAGCATGGGAGGAATCCATTACCTTTTCCTCGTATCATGTAAGTAATAAAAAATAAACCACGATGATTAGAGGATGGAGGACTAAATTATGGCAAACTTCCACGTTGAGAAAAGATCAGTGAACCTGCCTGACAATGCCCTCACCGGCAAGGGACTCGCTAATGACACAATGACAAGAGGCTCTAAGTGCGGTGTCTCTGCCCCCTGACCCAGCCCACGATGAGGTGGGGAGGGGCCTCGGCTTCAGGCCGGAATGAGACCTACGCCTGTGTTGGGTGGCCCAAGGCTCTGGGAGCCAGCCCGAGGCCCAGGGAGGCCGAGGAGACTGGGCCCCTGCTCCTGCCCTTCCCACTGACTGGTGTCAGCTCAGCCCAGACGACCGGGACAAACGTGCTTCAAGCTGGTCCCTCGGACCAGAACGTTCCACCAGTCTTCACGTGGCTGTACCTGCTGGGGCTCCCTGGGCACCCAGCAGTACCGCGGTGGGCTGCTGAACAAGCTACAAGATTGAGCAGCCCCTTGCCAACCACGCGGGGTGGGGAGACTGCGGCCAATGTACTTTGTAGGCTAAAAGGGTCATCGTGGTGACCCTGACCAGCTTCGGCTAGGCCTCTCAGGAGATGCCCAGAAAATCTGGGCCCCATCCTTCACCAGCTTGAAAACTAGTCAGGGCAAGTTCCTCAGGAGTAAAAAGATAGCACCAAATGAGTGGCAGGGCCTAGGGCAGGAAACTGTTTTCATTCTCTAGAAGTTTCTTCGATCCTGCTCCATGGGTTTGCCCCCTCCTTTGCTGGCTCTCTGGCTCTCCTGGGGCAGGCGTTTGTCTCCACAGTATCCCAGCTCCTACTGCCTCTCTTGAGCCCCAAACCCTTCCTTTCAAAGCCTCTTGCGTGCCCCCGCCTAGACGCCTTAGGCTCCTCAAATGGCACCCAGGCTGACATAGTCCCATCTGCTCTCCTAAGCTCCGTCCTAGGCCCCACTGTCACCTGGATGCCCCCTGTGGGCACTACCAGGAGTCTGGGGAGGCTGGGGCTGCAGCCTCACCTGACCTGTGGACTCCCCGGGGCGGAGGAACTGGACAGTGGTTTGGGGCATGCTGATTTCCCAGAAAGGGCAGATAGGGCAGCGGGTGATGAGGGGTTGGGAAGGGCAGACCTGCAGTCCACCCAGGATGCCAAGGACACAACACTTAAGCCCAGGCATCCACAGGGTCTCTCCTCTGTAAGCTTGGGGCCTGTCTGCATCAAGAGCCACAGCCAAGGACAGGGAGGCCCAGTTCCCAGCTCTGCCCTCTGTGGTTAGTGTGACATTGCATTGGCTCCTGTGTCCCTCTTGGGGCCTGCATGGGGGAGAGGACCTAAGTGTTCTCTGACTGCCAGCTAGTTCGACCATTGGGGGACAGATCTGAGGACCTCAGGCAAAGGTCCCCACTCACCTCTTACTTTCTTATCTGTCCACTTCCCCAGGGCCCTGGGGGGAGTCAGCATGCCAGCATCCAGCCAGGAGCCCACGAGCTGCAGACTCTGGTGCCCACCTGTCTGTTACCGTCGCAGCCCCTGTGAGTCACTGCTTCTCATTCTGAAGCCTCTGGGGGTCTGAATTACACGCTGCACTGCACAAAAATCAGTCCTTCCTCTGAAATGCAGAGGCCGGTGAGTCCAGCGTGGGGGACGCCAGCCACCTGTGGCACCTGGACACAGCGGCCGTCATGTGCCATCAAAAAGGAGGCAAAGACGCAGCTCCTGGGCAAACGCCTGGCACTCCCTCTCTGGATTTTTTTTTTTTTTTAAGATTTTATTTATTAATTTGAGACACAGAGATACAGAGACAGAGAGAGAGCATGAGCAGGGAGGGAGGCAGAGGGAGAGGGAGAAGCAGGCTCCTCGCTGAGCCAGGAGCCCGATGTGGGGCTCGATCCCAGGACTCCGGGATCATGACCTGAGCCGAAGGCAGACGCTTAACCGACTGAGCCACCCAGGCGCCCCTCCCTCTCTGGATTTCTTCACTCTCCTTAACTTCAAGTTAAACGTTAATGCCTCACACGAGAAGAACTAGTTCGTAGAGATCAAATACAGAACAGGATCTGTTCAGTATTAAACAGTTAGGTAAATCATCAATAATGGAGACAAGCAAACGCACAGGAAGAAAGCCACGTATCAGAAACAAGGGCCATGTTGACGGCATGCTGGGTATGGATGGTTTCACAGGTGGGTACTTCATTTCAAACTCACCAAGATGAATGTATTAAGTATGTACAGCTTTTATATGCCAATCGTAGCTCAATAAAGTGGTAAAACAGTCCCTGGGAACCAGGGTCCAAAGCCTCTGCCTCCAGCCACGGTTCTGCACTGGGCAGAGTGATCGCGTGCAGAGCACAGTTCAAGGAGGCCTGCCCCCGGGGGGACACCAGAGAGCCCCTGGGGGACCGTGGGGCTGAGCCACCCACGTGGGAGCAGTCTTCCTGGAACACGGTGAAGCAGCGCCACGGACAGAACAGGACAGGGACCCCGACCTGCGCTTCCCAAATCCCACCTGGAGCAGAGGAATGCGGCGCACAGAAGACACGGGAAACACAACCTCCCTCCTCCTCTGGCCCTCCCACGTCCGAGGACAACGCTTCAACACATTCTAATCACAAGGTCAGGGTAAGAACTGACCGGAGCTTGGAGCCCGCAGAACTGGGTGTGAGAGCTCTGCTCTGGCGCTGTGGGCCTGCTCAGGATGTGTCCCCCAGCCCCCCGTCCTGTGTCCCCCACCGGAACACAGGGCAACCCTGAGCAGGGCAACACCGGCCAGAGACGAGCAGGGCACACCCACGACAAGCCCTGCGACGGCTTCACTCAGCCCCCAAAGCTCTCAGGACAGCCCCTGTGTCCCCCCGCCCCCCCCGTCCCTGTCCCCTGCTCAGCAGTCTTACGACACTGGAAGATGTCACAAGACCCACAGGACTAGGCAGAAGTAGCCCTGGCTGCCGTCCCCAGCCTACAGCTCTCCTAACCACTTCTATGCAACAGGACCCGGTAATCTCACACAACGTCAAGACGCCGAGCGGCATAATGCCGCAGCAGCTCCCGGGACCCCGGGGCGGGTCTCTAAGCCGCAAGGACCCCAACCCCAGCGTGGCATCTGCGTGCCAAGGCGGGAATCACAGCAGCAGCCTGGGCTGTGACCGCGAGACAGAGAAGACCCAGGCCCCACCACCCTGGAGACACAAGACGCGCGGCCCCGCGGCAACCCCCCCGCCCCCGGCCCGGGTCACAGGAGACAAGGGACGCCCCGGGGCCCCACGGCCCCCGAGGGCACAGAAGACAGGGGCTGCCCCGGAGCCCCGCGGCCCCAGGAGACAGCGGCCGCCCCACCCCCTCGCGGCCCCAGGAGACGGGGACGCCCCCGGCCCCGGGGTCACAGGAGGCCCTGGCAGCCGCTCACCCGCCGGGCCTTCTCCCATAGCTGGTTGAGCTTCTCCATGCGGAACTCCCCGCCGGGCTCGTTCTTCTCCCGCGAGTACTTGCCGCCGTGGCCCGCCGCCGGCCAGGGCCCGAGCAGCAGCAGCAGCACCAGGAGCTGCGGCTGCGGGAGCCCGCGCGACCCCACTCCGAGCTTCGGCGACGCCATCTTCCTCCTCCGGCCGAAGAGGCCCCGCCCCCACCGCGCGGCCTGCTGGGAGTTGTAGTCCCTCCCCGAGCGGGCTGCCCAAGCGAGGCCGCCAGCGGACTACGAGGCCCGCGAAGCCCTGCGGAGGCACGTGAGCGTTTCCTAGGCGACCACGCCGCGGCCTCGAGATCGCGGGGGCCTCCGGGTGGGCAGGGTGCGCTGGGGCTGCCCTCTTTGGGATTGCGACGTTGAGCGAGGACGCCACCCGGACCCCGGACTCGGGGTGGCCCGACGTCCCCCCCGCTCCGTGGGGAAAGTAAACCCGAAACCCTGGCCTTTTCCTGTGTCCGCGGCGGTGATAGGGCGACTTCCTCGTCGCTGTGGGTTGCGGGCGGCTGGCCCCGCTAGGCACTCCTTCCCCTGACAGAGGAAGGCAGGCTGAGTCCCGGGCGGGCCCGGGAGTCTGGGCCTCCTCACTCCCGCCCCACGGAAGCTCTTCCCCAGGACTGGGGTGCGGGGTGCGGGGTGCGGGGTGGGCGGGCTGCAGCCCAACAGTGTCTTTGAACTGCATCCCCGACACTTCCTCTCCATGCGCTGCTTTTGTATTAGAGATCTTGCGCACTTGCCTCATTCCCACCCTCTTAGATTTTAGCAAATCACCAAAATTCAACCTGGGGGGCGACGTGTTGGGGTTGGGCCATGCCCTGGAGCGAGCTGCTGATGGATCGCTGCCCTCAGGTGGCTTGGGGTAGATGGTCCAGTAGGGGCACCAACTAGGGGTTTTGGGGCGGAAGAGACAGGGTGCACCCACCCGGTGAGAGTGACCTGAAAGGCCTCCCGGGCGGCTGATTGTGCCTGGAAGAGGGGGCATTGGGATAGGAGGGAAGATGGGGACAAAGGAAGGGGGTGGAAAATACCTGGGCCTCTTGGGAGGAAGCAGTACTTACTTTAAAATTGTGCCCTGGGACACCTGGGTGGCTCAGTTGGTTAAGTGACTGCCTTTGGCTCAGGTCATGATCCCAGGGTCCTGGGATCGAGTCCGGCATCGGCATCAGGCTCCCTGCTCAGCGGGGGGCCTGCTTCTCCCTCTCCCACTCCCCCTGCTTGTGTTCCCTCTCTCGCTGTGTCTCTCTCTGTCAAACAAATAAATAAAATCTTTAAAAATAAATAAATAAATAAATAAATAAAATAAAATAAAATAAAATTGTGCCCTGTGTTGTCCAGAGGGTTTAAAGTACCTGGAATGGAGGAGGGCTTTGCCCTCCTTCCTGCCTGACCCCAGGATCTTGAGAGCCATTGTTTCATGTGTTTTGTCTGGTTGTTTAGTTGTTTCAGGCAAAGGTTAACTTCAGTCCCAGTACTCCAGTCTATCTAGAGCACAGGTTCCAGGGGCCCAGCTGTTAGTTTTTAATGAAGTGGGGAACAAAGGCAAAAGAAAAATTCAATTTCCTTACTACCTAAAACCAGCTGACAAGTCCTTGAAACAGGCAGAGTGACATTCCTCTAGGAGCTCAGCTGCCTTGATGTTGATACTTTGCTAGGGCAATCTTAGGCTGACCCCCAGGATCCTGTGAGTCTACTTTTAACATATAAAAATTCCTTTGGAAACTTTCGTTATCTCTATCTCCTAGATACGTGTTGGCAATCATCCCCCAAGCGTATGACCCACTGATACACATCTGAAGGGTCTCATGACTAGGTTTTATTTGATGGTGATTAGTGACTTTTTCCCAACAATAGCTAGCCCCCTCAAGGTCCTGGAAACCTTGCTTCCAAAATTCCTTAGAGACTTACACTATCCCTAATCCTCTCCCAACTTAATGGGCCACTCCTCATGACCCCAGTGCAGCTTTTCCTGCCCTCAGGAAAATAATAAATAAATGTAAAATATTTAATATTATAATAATATTTTTAATAAATTAATTTAATTTTAATAAAACCACCATTTTGCACTAAAGATGTCTCAAGAATTCTTTCTTGGCCATTGGCTTCGAACCCTAACATCTTTCCTACATCATTTAACGCACCTATCCTGTTTATTAGTTACCTAATGCATGCATAAGACCCCAAGAGGATCAATGTTTATTCTTTTCCCTGTTCAAGACTGATCAACAGGCAATTGTCCTCTGGGTTGTGATACAGGGACCTGGGCCGCCCCATCTTCAACACAGAATTTCCAAGATTGCTTCCCACCGGCACAAGGGGAGAGAGCATTGAGGATCTCACAGCGGAGGTGGTTGGAGAGCTGGGCATCGTATCACTTTGCTCATGTTCTATTGCTTAGAAGCAATCACACTGATGTGGTTTTGGACTATAGGTGAGGTTTGGTGGGGTGGGGTCTGGAGCCAATGACCAAGAAAGAATTCTTGAGATGTCTTCGGTGCAAAATGGTGGTTTTATTAAAGCATGGGGACGGGACCCCTGGGCAGAAAGAGCTGCTACACTGGCCTTGTGAGGGGTAGCTGATTATATACTTGGGAGGTAAGGAAAAGGGAGGTTTTCAAAAGGATTTTCATATGTTAAAGACTCACAGGATACTGGAGCCCTTGCCATTGTCAAGTTAAGGTTGTTTTTCCCTCTAGTAAAGCAATAACATTAAGACAGTTGGGAGCTGGGCGCCTGGGTGGCTCAGCCGTTGAGCGTCTGCCATGGGCTCAGGTCATGATCCCGGGATCCTGGGATAGAGTCCCGCATCCGGCTCCCTGCTCTGCGGGAAACCTGCTTCTCCCTCTCCCACTCCCCCTGCTTGTGTTCCCTCCCTCGCTGTGTCTCTCTCTGTCAAATAAATAAATAAAATCTTTAAAAAACAAACAAACAAAGACAGTTGGGAGCTTCCTGGAAGAATATCACACATGTCCCACCCAGGAGTGGGGTGTTGGGGGAGGCTGCAGGGTGTCAGCTTATGCTTTGTCCTCAGCTAGCGTTCTGCTCCCTCATCAAACACAGACACAAAAATCCATAACAAAATATTAGCAAATAGAATTCCGCAATATATAAATAAGTTTGGCTTCGTATTTGGAAATGGATTTATGTAATTCTCTTTATTAATAGAATAAAAGAGAAAGAACAGCACATATCATTCACAAATAAGTGTAGTTGAAGCGCTTGACAAATCCAACACCCATTTGTGATAAAAATCATTCAGCCAGCTAGCACTAGAAGGGGACTTTCTCAATTGAATAAAGGGCATCTACACAAAATGTTCAACTTACATTGTACTTAATGGGGAAATGTTGAGCGCTTGAAAGAATGCAGGGATGTTCACCATGATCATCAATATTCAGCACATTACCTCATGCCCAGTAGAATAGCCAAAATTAATTAGGTTCACAATGTCATATGTTGGGAAAAATATGAAGCCACTGAAACTCTCACACTTTGCTGGTGGGAGTGTAAAATGCTCAACCACTTGGCGAGATCCTTTGTCAGTTTCTTACACAATTCAAGAAACACCTATTCTATGACCTGATCCAATGGGTTCAATTCTATGAACCTGTAACCGGGGTGCAGAGGTGCATGAGCATCTGGCTCTGGGGATCCCAGACAGACCAGGTTTGGCCGCTTGTCGCTGACAAAATCCACAGGCAGAGAGATGAGCGGTGGTGAAATAGGAAAGGGATTTATTTCAGTAAGGCTGACACCTGGAAGATAGTGGACTAACATCTCAGACTATCTCCAAAGGGTGGAAAATATGTCCAGGTTTATATGAAGAAAACGTGGGACCAAGGCTGGCGGGTCCGTGCAGGTGGGCAGTGAAAGTCAGGGTGATCATTGTCTTGGGGCCAATGGTGGGGGGGGGTCTTGCTTGCTCAGGGCAGCTGCTATTGCTTGAGGGCTGGTTTAAGTTCCCATCACAGATGCTCCCCCCCCTCCCCATCCACTCCCCAGTCTTTTGCCTGAATTAAGAGGTGAACTGGAAAGAAGAATGTATCAGTTATAAAGTACTGACCAAGGTCAGATGGAGGTGGTGGACATCCTCTTTCAAACCCAGCGATTCCACTCCTAGGTTGCCCAAAATAAATTAAGACATGTATCTATAAAAAGACTGAGCAAGAATGTTTTGGCAGCTTTATTCATAATAGACAAAGATTTTAAATAACTCAAGGGCCCAACAACTGGAAAATGGGTAACAAATTGTGGTATATGTATACAAAGGAACGCTACTCAGCAAAGAGAAAAAAACCCAACAAAAAATGAACTGTTACACACAATGTGGACAAGTCTTATCACTGTGAGGAGTTCAGTAAACCTAAACCAAAAGAGAACAGTGTATATAACTGCATTTTCTGAAGTTCAAGATCAGGCAAAAATAATCTCTGACACTAGGTATCAGAACATTAGTTGCGTATGGTGGGGTGGCCGGGGGGGGGGGGGGGGAGTTGGTAATTAACTGGAAGGAAGCATGAGAGAACTTTCTGGAGTGAAGAAAATGTTTGATACTTTGATTGAAATATTGGTTAGAGGGATATATATATTTGTGAAAAGTCATTACATCGTATGTTTAAGATCCGTGATTTCATTATGTGTAAAGTTTATCTTAAGACAAAACACACACATGTGCATGCACACACACAGGGGATTGAATCATCCTGAATGCTAACTGCAGAGACCTCCAGTATTCTTTCCCTGCTCAGCTCTCAGAACACTGATAGCTGGGTCCTCAGTCTCCAGATGGGAGATTAGAAGAAACATTTCTGTTGAATCAGACCATCTCAGTAGGAAAGAACCATGATGTTGACAGCAGGAGCAACCCAACAAGGGCCCACCAAGATCACTCTATGGTGAGGCCCTACATCAACAAACACCATGTGGGTGTGCAGGGCTTCCAATCAGCTCTTAAATCCCCATTCCTTATCATGGAAAGTCAGCTAAGGATTCTTAAAAATGTAAGGGCAGCTCCTAATGTGGAAGAGAGAGAAAGAGAGACAGAGACAGAGACACACAGAGAAAGAGAGACTAAAACAAATAGGCAATAACAACAAAAAGACAACTAGGAGAAAACAAAAACCACACAAGGAGAAGGGGAAAAATGACTATTATTATCCTCACAGAG